GCAGTCCCACCGCACCACAGGAGCGCTGTCCTCTATATTAAATCGAATCATAATTCATTAATAATTTCCAGCTATTACTCAATCCACTGCTGGATGAAGGCTTCCCCGCACACCTTGTCCGGTATTTGGGGGGGGGGGGGGTGATTGTGACCATACTTCGCCGTGCCGGTTAGCGCCGCCACCACCGCCTTGGCCATTTTTAACAATTAAGGCGCGAGGTTACAAAAGCGTCTCGGGCTGCGCGTGTCGGTCCGCGCCGCATCCCTCCCCAGCGACATGCCGCAAACATCGATTTAGTGGAGCTTTGGCCGGGGCGACCGCGACGGGGTGCGTTTCACACACTTGGCATGGGCCCCGGCCTCTCCCGCCGTCCCCTTTTTGCCGCGCCGCGAGCCCCCGGCGTCATCGCCTACGGTATTTGTACACGCGCCGTAAATCCCGCCGCTCCGCGCCGCTCCCGGGCCTTCAGAACCTCCCACCCCGCGCGAGGGGCTCCCAATGGCAACCACCGAGGCCGCCTCCGCCCTCCGGTCATGCATTTATTCCTGCTGCTGCTGCTGCTCGTACGTTCATTTATTTATTTCGCTCAGACTGGTTGGGATGGCTTTGGAAGTCGGCGGCGGGGGGGGTGCAGGGAGCTGTTGGGGGTGGGTCGGGGAAATTGCTTACACCGTCATTTCTAGCTTTTCACAGGCGAAGCGGGGGGAGAGGACCACTTAGCAGTCTGCGACGAAGGCAGCCTCTGTGCGTCGTGAGTCAGGTTTCTTGTGTTATGGTTTGCATTGGGCACGAAGCTGTGGCTGCAGCGAACATTTTTCTGGAAATTTTATTTTTATCCACCAACGGGGGAGCCACTAAAATCATCGTCGCCCTCATCAGCAGCGTGTTTCTGGGACCCTAAGAAGTGCCGGACCAGCTGATACATATCATTCCCTCTGCCTGCTGAGAGGCCATTGCTGTTGGGCAACAGACCTAATGTCAGTTATTAGCCTTTATCTGACCAGGCGAGTGCCTGCAGATCAGATACCGAGTCTCCTTTGTCAATCACGCAAGAATGGAATCGGCCAAACATCCCACTACAGGACCCCCTTGACCAGTGAGGCTTTCGTGGGAAACTAAAGGACATGATAATTATTATTTAGTAAGGTAGACTTGGAAGTAATGCAAGGCACAGTACAAACTCACGGCCCAGATAATATTGTGCAGTTGGACCAGTGCTAGCGGTGTGCCCGTCGCCTTGGGCTAATGCAGTGCGAGGTTCTCTGGTGTTTCGTGGGATTCTACCGTGGGATGTCGGGCGCGATGTCTGACGTTCCGCTCCACTTGCATGGAACCTTTTAGAGTTAATTTCCTTCAGGAGCTCCCAGCATATGGAGCGAAACGTTGGACATCGTGCCCGACAGCAGGCGGTGCAACCCGGAAAGGCAACAGAGAGACATACGGCACAACCGCGAAACCTTGCACGGCATTAACGCCGTGTAATGTTTGCGATATTAACTGGGGGTCGGTGCCTGTGAACCAGAATGCACGCACACGGTCCCCGTATTCCCCAATCCTTTGCGCAAGCTCGCCGATGGCTTTTGTTACTACGCCTGGGTGTGAATGCCATAGCTGATTGGGAAAGCAAAGCGTTTAACATCCCCCATGCGCGATTATATATTTATATATTTTAAAAAAATGTTAATGACCCGACTCATGCTCTGTCCCAACCTGCCTCTGCTTCCGTGGAGGTGCTAACCAGTTACCCACAGGTGTCACTCCCATCACTCACCCCTACGTGACCTCTCCCCCCCACCCTTTAAAGACAGAGATCCCCTGTATAGCCTTAACAGACTGTTGGGGCAAGTGCTGTTAGCGAGTAGCACCTATGAAGGCCGGCATGGCACACGAGGGGGGGGGGGGGCGGTGGCCAACACACACCTGTCAACCCATACGGTTTTTCCGTGTTCTTGTACAAGGAAATTTACTTTTCAGGTCCATACGGCGTACAGACGTTTCAGTACGGGCAATAAAATGTTTGTCTGTTTATGTTTCTCCCTTGTGATGGGACTTTGTAGGATGAACGTTGAGATTTATCAGGGCACGGGGTGACCAATAAGGTCTGAATTGGTCTGTAATAAGGTAGGGCACTGATAAGGGGTTGACAGGTTTGCCAACACCACGGCTGGCCACCTTTGTCTCCCCCAGTGGCGATGTTTACACACCACACCAGGCACTCATTGGAGGCTGAGTCGACCTAGGGGAGCCCTAGGACCGGTGCAGATAATCATCACCATGAGCTGGAATCGAACTCAGGTCGTCGATCCCCACCCCATACACCAGTGATGGATGAAGCTAGTGCGGGGCCTGTAGCATATGTTATAAAGGGGCCCTAAATAAAAAAAACGTAAATATTAAAACACACATTTTTTACTTGCATAGTAAAGTAATTGTATTTTTTCATTTGCCATACAGCCAGATAATACGACAAATCGCTAACCTTAAACACCCAGTCGTTCATAAAAGTTGAAGGCGGTATAGTACTATAGTAATAGAGCAAATGCAGAATCACTTAACCGAAATTGATAGCTCGAAAGCATTTAGTGTGAGCCCCTTCAAAGTGCGGGGTCCGTAGCTACTACATATGTAGCTACTTTTGCTACTAGGATAATCCAGCACTGCCCTACACACACTACCTCACACCGCCCACCCACACCGCACACCCTCCTCCTCTGGTCAAATGTGGGACACACGACCACTGCTGTTAGGCCACCATTCCCACCGGAGCGAGAGTCCATTTAATATCTCGCGCTTCGCGACCAACGGGCGGTGTCGCCCTTGGCGTGAAAGCGGCACCGGCTGTCGTGCCAAGTCCGTGGGGCGCAGACAAATGCGGTGCTTAATGTGCGCGCACAAGGCTTCAATTATGTTGTAATGCCGCTGTTGAATAATTTGTCAGATATCGGTAATATGAGCGTTTCGTAATGTTTTTGGGAGGGGGGGGGGGGGTACACGTATGAATGTAACGATTTACCTCCCTTCCTCGAGCAATGGATGAGTTACGGTGATTCGAGGTCACGATTCGCGGTGGTCACCGTTCACGATTAAATTAGCGAGTACTTTATTTGCCATTGTGATGCGTGTAACGCTTTAGCAGTATGCATCTATCGCATCGACAGCGCCATTTTTTTAAATAATATATAATTTTTTCCAATGATTCAACACAAGTTTAGGAAGCAATAATTATAATTAATAAATTAATTTCGATTTAAAGCTTTCGTGACTGCAGGGATTCATCTTCTTGGTTCTTTCGGTAAAGTCACGTAGGAGGGAAATAATAAAATAATAAAAATATAACAATAATATGCGCGCACAAGGCTTATGTTTTATTATTTTATTATTTCCCTTCTACGTGACTTTACTATAATTAATAAGGTAATCATTGTAATCCTCATTACAAGCGTGGCGTCGGGGCGAGCGACGCCGATTGGCACTGTGGCCCTGTGAACGTCCCTACCGGGGGAGGTGATTTTAGCGGCCAATTCAACAATGCAAGGGTGCCCGCTGTCTTTTGTGTGAACGCAAAGCGAGAAAATAACGCGTGCACGAGCTTGTCATTGCTGGAGAAAATATTTGACTGGAAAGACCCAGACTGGAAAAATATCAGCTCTGCCACCTGGAGCATGTTCACTATGCTCAGTATGAAAAACTTCTCCCCCACCCCCGCCAACCCCAGAGAATTTTTTTTTTAAATTTGCAGAACGTAGCGATCGCTACTGGCTGCAGAGTTCACGTGAACCCCTTACCGCACACGTACAAATTACCGCGCCTATACAAATTGCAAATGTTCATTCTCTCGCACGCGAGGATATAAATGAATCCAGAGTTCAAGAATCGATTTTAATTGACAAATTGATGCGTCATTACACCTCCAGTTTCCATCGCCGCTGCCAAAAATCCGTGGCCCGCGGCGGTTCCCCCTTCCCGTGCCTCCTGCACTTATTTTGTTTATTTTTTGTTGCATTCCATTCGTATGGAACACCGTGTAACTTGACGGCAGTGACGTGCGCGGGGTAACTTTCATAAATCGGGACGCGGATTTCAGCCAAGTTCTGTAACCGCGTGTGTGCGGTCTACCGAGGCAGTGGCGGTGGAGGGGTTAGCACACTTCGCTACGAACCCGGCGACCCGAGTTCGATTCCCTCTCGTGGCCAACACCATTGATGATTATCTGAACCGGTTCTGGGCCTCCTCTAGGTCGGCTCAGCCGTAATTGAGTAGAAGGTGCGGTGTGGAAACATCAGTACTGGGGAGACAAAGACGGCCGGGCGTGATGCTTACCACCCACCTCCTCGCATGCTGTGCCGGCCTTCATAGGTGCTCGCTAACAGCCTTTGCCCCAAAAGTCTGTTCAGGCTATACGGGGGGAAGGGATCTTTCATTGTCTACCCAGACAATAACAAATCCTATTTGAAATGATCAATATCAGCCTTCATAGCGTCTATCGATGTTTATGCACAGTCCTTTATCGATCCACTGTTGGATGCCCCCCTCCCCCCCATGCAGTCCAGTGTGTCCATCCACCTTTTTATAAGAGTTCTTCATCTCTCGAGCCAGTGGTGTAAGTTCTACATTCCCGTGGCAAGGGCAGATTAATCCACAGGACAACCACTTTTGGCATCCCATGAAGTGGCACTTATTTTGTTGACCCTGGAGGGGATGAAGGGCTGCGTCAACCCCCCCCCCCCCGATAGACATCACACCGGGTCTGGCGCTCGAACCGCAAGTGTCTCATGTACACAACCGGGATCTGTGTGAGCATTCGCTCGAAGCTTCCTTCCAATTAAAAGTCCGTGTGCATTGCACATGCGGTACGGTGAACTGCAAGGCCACGATGGGAGGACCGATAGATAACACTGCAGTCGCAATCGTGCCCCCTCTCCTGTCTGTAAATCGCCTTCTGCGTGCATCTTTACTCTGATCATTCCTGACGTTCCCTTCACTTTGTTCCCGTTTGTCAGCAGGACGAGAAGCGCAGGACGACGACGAGGACTTTTCCGGCAGGGCCCGGTGCGGAGGGCACCTGGGCAGCGCCAGCAGCGGGGCCCAGCGGCCGGAGAGAAGCCGCTGCGACTTCACCAAAACCCTGTCGACCAAGCGCAGCCTGGACCACCTCAACAGGATCCTGCGCGTCAAGAAGCTGCAACGGGCCTCGCTCACCGGCAACAACGTCAAGCGGCGGCCCGGGCGCCCACGCAAGCGCCCGTCGCCGTCGCCGCCGGCGACGGGACGCACGCGTCGAGCCGCCGCGGCCGCCGCCGCCGCCGCGGCCGCGGCGGCGGCGGCGGCGGCGGCGGCCGCGGCGGATTGTGCGGGCTCCCAGCGCATCGCCGCCGGGCGAGGAGGGGCGGCCGGGCGCAGCGACGACGCCGTGACGGACACCATCGAGTGGGTGGTGCACGACGCCAGGAGGCAGCGCGCCGAGCACAGGAAGGGCGTGAAGAGGAAAGGGAGCCACGGGCCGTGGACTCGGGAAGTCGCGGAGAAGAGTCCCGCGCGGGGGAAGGAGCCGGAGGCGGACGGCAGGTGAGCGCGCAAGACGGAGGAACGCCCACGCGCTGCCGGTTGAAATCAAGTCGCAGTTGGTCGAAGTGCGAGTGAGGAATAGTCGATTTCTCACGGTGCATGCCAGCTATTTTTAAATTACGTGCCAATGTTACGTTTAGGCTCATTGAGAGAGCACAGCTGCGTAAACGAAAGAGGAAAACTGAGAAGAAGGTGGCAAAAACGAGACAACATAGAATCGATGTTTGTAATCGAATGGTTGACCCCGAGTGCGTGACTTGCAAAAAACAAAGAGAAACGATCAAACGGTAAGATCGACACCAAGCGAATGGATGCTCAAATTGAATCGTGACCCAAAATTGTGTCGATCCATCAAATGTCTGGTTAGGTGGATGCTTACATTGCTGAACATTCAATAAATTCAAGTACAAATGTGCAGCTTTCAGCGTTTAGTTTTTTTTTTTGTACAGAAACCGGGTTCGTTATTTGATGACAGCGTCCACCCACTCGCGGGAGGTTCCCAATCCGCGGGCACCCAAATCGCGGTTACACAATCAACATAAACCCCGGCAACATCTACGGTCTGAGGCAGGCATTCATCAGCGTAAAGCAATACTTTAATCGCGGTCTCGGTGGCTTTTTAATGTGACGTCTAATTTGGGAGAGTCTTGCCACGAGGGGGATAACCGTGCGATGTAACCATTAAGCACACTGGGCTTTGCGATCCGGAGGGTTGCCGTTTCTATCCAATCCCCTGGCGAGGCAGTTGAAAAATTGGGGACCTAGTTCCGGACACCGCCTCCGGCCCATACGGCAGCAGGTACACACGGGTACACAACGGCAAGTCGAACGGCGTGCGGCCCGCGGCGGGGTCAAATGTGGATATTCCTACCGCTTCCGGGATGCCTGGCCGGCGTGGAAGAAGAGCAGGCCAAATATACTCTGGAGGAGCGTTTAGGCCCCTTCCTCCAGCAGCGGAGCGAGCAAGGAGTCGCAGGGCTGTGCACCTTTGCATCTTTTACCATCGAGGTGCCTGCGCGTGGCGCCGCCCGCCCGCCCGCCCGCCCGCCGTGAGCAGTACCGTCGCCAGCGCGCATCGCCACTGAAACGTCATCAGCTGAGGCATTGTGTGGTTTCGGCGCAGGGAGTAGGGTTTCCTGGGTATAAATATTGATTTTGAATGCTTAAACGGCCACCCGCATCGCTTACCGCGGCAATCCCCAACATTATCGCGCCTTAAATATGACTGTAATAGTTTTGCGTGGCAGTAAAGCCTGAGTGGTGAAGGGCAAATCGATGCGCGCGCTAAAATGCGGTTTGAAGGTCCGTTTCGTTTAAGGTTTTAATTTAATTTTGAATATTGCCGTTTTAAATTGCGTACATTTTATAGAAATAAATAAAACATGCATCGATCGTTTTGGTACGGTTCATGCCCTCAGGGGAAAGTGAGGGATGGAGACAATGCAAGTTTTTTTTGGGTTTAAATCAAGATAACCTCTCAAATATTATAGAAATAATAATGCACAGTCCTACGTCAATCCACTGATGGATGAAGGCCTCCCGCACCGTGGCATTAAACGTAACATTTGGGTATGACTTGCATAAATCTTACATCATTGATTCCTTCGCGTGCAGTTTGACGATAGCGTAATTTACGTATGTAGATGCTATGTTGAACTTCTTTCGCACCGCACCTAGCCAACCATGCTAGTCAGAGGTGCGGGGGAAGGACGACAAACTAAACACAAAAAGCAGTTCTGAAGAAATGAGTTTTCAACCTAGATTTACGCGAGATTCGACTTCCGTCAATTGATTCGTCGTTGTTACGTGTCAAATGGAAAATCGGCAGAGGCTTTTTATATTCAACTCTATTCCGGAGAGGCCTTGGCTGAAGCCACTTGTGCTCACGTCACGTGACCAGCCTCGTGGAACGCTGAAAGCTGCGATCGTTGCCAGAGCAGTACGAATGGCGTGGGAGGACGAGCGATTTGGACCTTTAGGGGTTGCGATTGCTCCACATCGCTCACTCCCGCGGATTGATTTACGCAGGGAGTGTGCGCACTCCCTAACACAAACGCCGGCCCCTCCTGTATCACCACCCCTTGCACTATGCCAAAGCCACCGAGTCTTTCTCCACTCGTACGCATTGCATGGATGGATGTTGAACGTCCACAGTATAATGACGACGATCACAGAACGAATCATCTACCTCCCGTTTGTCAATCCACTGCTGCGTGAAGACCTCCCCACCCGGCGTCAAACATGGGGGTTTGTTTATGTGACCATACTTCACCCACGCTGGTAAGTGCAGGTTGGTGAACTGTGTGTGGGGGTTGCCCAGGACCGGGTCAGACACCGCTCGCCGCTGATTGTCAGCCGTGGTCGGCAATCGACCTCGGGTCGCCGGGGTTCACGGCGCAGTACGCACATCGTCACCACCCGAGTGCAATATTATAATCCACAGCACAGTAAACGGTCCCTTTGTTCCGAAGCAGGTGATGGCCTCCCGAGACACGACACCACTTTTGAAAGTAAGATCCGGGGAATTTCATGATCACGATCCATGAGCAGATAGCCCCGTAGGTGTCCACTGCACATTTCGTCATTTAGTTAAGCACGTAGGCTTTCGCGACCAATATCCATAATCCAGGTTTTTTGGGTTACATCGTGTAAATATCAATGCGTCGTTACACCCACCACCATTTATTTCCACTTACCTCTCTGTCTTGTGCCAATATGCTCAAGTCGTGCCACATCTTTCCGGCACCAATCTCTCATAATGTCGTCATGAAGCCATTCTCTGTGAGGTCTTCCTTTCTGTTCCTTCCGTTTTTTTCCGAATAACACACGTTTAATTTTCCTGTTGTCACCCATCTTACATTTGTGTCCACAGACATTTACCGTAGAGAAAAAAAACTATAAACTATAATTTAATATAATTTTGTTAGGTTAGATTTTAGTCTATAAGTTTTTGGGCAATTGGTGAATTTCAAATTCAATTGTTTATTCAACGAATTGATGCTGTTCATTCAAATAGGATTGTTTTGGAAATTGATATATGGCTAATAAAGTACATGCCATTCCAAAAATAAGTAATATTTTTAAAAAAACTTTTTTAATAACACGCTTTTATGAACTGTACTAGTAATGGCAAAACCCCACGACTCCAGGAAGTGGCCCCGAAGCTCGCCACAACGTAAGGGACCATGGCCAATTTCAGCCAACGTCAGTTGACCATAGACAATTAGACCCAAGCCGAAACATAACATATAAAAAATAATGTTTAAAAATACATGTTTTTATGATAGAATATAGTATTGTCATCAGCATCACATAAGTATACCAAGTTTGCAGTCGATACCACATTGAGAAGTGGGTAAAAATTAAGTTACAAGATTTGAGGATACAACAGACAGATTGAGTTCAAGAAAGCATGTAAAAAGTATTCTACTTATGAATAGGGTATATATATATAACAAACAAAAAATATTCATATGTATTTCGTCAATTAATGCATTTATGAGACATTGAATACATTTTCAAATTGAAAGCAGATTTATCTGATGAATTCTATCCAATCACAGACAGTTATAAGCAGGAAACTCCTGAACAAAAATAGCATGTAAATCACAGCACACGATGCCGGCGGTGGCCTCTAAAGAAGAAACAATGTCTGTTTTGGAAACTGATAAATGTCGCAGGCTATGCGTGTGGCGAAGCAAACCACCTCCTGGTGTGTGGATCCCACACGGCACTCGAAGGGTTGATGCTGTAGCTCACGATGCGTGCATGGAATTGCGCGTGTTATAGAGCGCGTTTGTTCCGCGCTTTTAGTTAGCTTGAGCCGTGCATTCACTGGAGGTGCTGCGATTCACCACTACGTTCATGAAAAAAAATCGATTAATGAGGCAAGTCACATCTCTGTATCATAACAATTCATTGAATCCCGAGTGGGAGGGGGAAATCATCTTTACAGAGAGATTTTTATTTGACCAGATAAGGCCCACTGAGCTATATAGCTCTTTTCCATAAACGACCTGGCCACAAGCGATAGGGCAACGCAGTGGCTTATCATGTGGAAATCCACGCCACCACAGGGAAAACGTACAAACTCCAAATATACAGGTGTCAGGGTCGGGATCAAATCCACGACCTCCTGCATACTATGCAAGAGAGTTAACATATCGCCACCACGGCGTCCCTTGAGGGAGTTAGAGACCGGTGGCCGTGGCTGTCTGTAGACTCGCTCACTGTTTCTGGTTCGCTGGCTCAATGCGGCTTTCCGAGGAGGGAGAAAGAGAGAGAGAGTGACACGTGCACGCACACAGATCCGCACACAATTTCGCGGAGGATGTGGGATTACTCCCCCATCGGGGGGGGGGGGGGGAGAAGGGATTAAGTGGGACACCACACAGTTTATTTCAGGTTTCCAGCACTTGCAAGGGAGCTGGTGGCAGCCGCGGTGGTGCGATATGCTGCCAGTATAATCACCGTGGGTATGAAGGAGGCTTATTCCACATGTCAGCAACTGGGAGACTTGAGTCGGCCTTTTGGTGTGGCATTTGAAACAAAATGGTATCGAATGTTCAAACGTTCAGAAAAAAAATATGCGAGCAAATGTTTTGTTTTTTGTAAAGAAATGGGGAGCAATATTTGCTTCCTGGCAGTTTAATAAGCGCTGAGAAATTTCAGACGTGCGTTTTATTCGGGCCGCGCCGAGGTAGGCATTTTGCTGACGCAGGGGTTCCGTCGACTTTCGTGCTGTGGCATTTTTTTAAAAATAGTTTTTGTTGGAAGAGTGAAATTCTCGGTGGCCGTTGCTGGCCGCTACGGTCCGTCCTTGAGTCCTCTGCCAAATGGCGGGTCTTGGCTCAAGCCTTCTCCCTCCTCGTTCTTGGCCGATCTCTAGCTGGTACTAGTTACGCATACCTGACATGTCATGTGGCCTCAGGCAAAGTACGGCAACAGTAGCGGGAAATCGCTTCACATTTGTGAATAATTCTTGCTTATTAGAACTTTATTAACCCGTACGGTTCGTAAGGGTAAAAGGTTTAGCGTTACATTATATATATACATTTGTTGGCAATCCTTTTTAATTCCATTGGATAAAAGCCTCCTCATGCCATATTAGCAATAGGGGGGTTGGAGGGACGTGGTTGTTGAGCCTACTTCACCACGTCTATCAGTGCGGGCTGGCGAAGGGGGTAATCCAGGACTTGTTCAGACGTCACTTGCCAATGATTATTCGCTTTGGCCAGGAATCAAACCCAAGTCACTGTGTACACTGACCTCCGATTAGCACGGTTGGCTACGTACGGTACGAACTAATTTCAACGTACATACATACATACGTTTCACTGCAGTGCCCGGATGATTGTGCCACCACTGCCTCACAATTAATACCTCGTTATATCATGAGGCGTTTAGTGATTCTCCATTTGCCCGTCGATGAAATGTCACGATTCAATGAGTGCAATCCAAATTCAATAATAATAATCAATCCTTTTATTTGCAATTGTGGTGAATGTAGCATCCCGAGTGGTTACGTGAACCACTTATACCACAGCATCTACGAATTAAGAAATAATCCATTCTCAAATGCAATAATTCTATGCATGTATTGATTTTTATTGGTGAATTTGGTGCGTCATTAAATGCTCAGTTGTAATTTGATTATAAGCGTAAAAGATCACACAAAGCAATGGAAACATTAACACCTACGAAAATACATTAAAACCTTAGATTTTAGGGGTTTTTTTTCTCCCAGGCTCATTCGAACACGCGAGGACTCAACCGAGTTTTTCCTTCGTACTCGTGCTTGCAAAGGCATCAAGTTAATTCCACCGAGCCCTCCGATGGTCAAACGGCATCTGTGTGACGGTCACACAACTTTCCCCGTCCCTTATGTCCACCCCACCCGCCCTCCCGCCCCCCCCCCCCCCACCCCGTCCTCTCGTTCCCCGAGCAGCTTGGACGGGAAAGACAAGCAGACAGACATGACGGCTGACGGCGGCGGTGACGGCGATGGCAGCAGCGGTGGTGGCGGTGATGGAGAGAGTGCGGAGCGAGGAGCTGGCGCCGGTGGCTTCGAGACGAGCGAGGAGCCATCGCAGCAGCTGCCCGGCAGCCCAGCCTCCCCGCCTCTGCTGGACCTAACCATGGCCGAAGATGACCAGGGCCGGAGGGGGCCACGACTGGCGAAGAAGAGATACCAAACCGCAGGCCTTTACTCTGACGTTTACAAGCAGGATACGTAAGTGTCAGATGATTGTCTTGTGCTTGTTTTTCTTCCTGTGTTAGGGTGATTGCTCGGTTTCAGGCTCCGCAATGTTAATACATTGTTGATTCTTAGATTAAAAGCGATTGTTGCTTTTAATGGGTTTTTTGTGCTTTGAAATAACTTGTTCCTCGCGTTCAATCGACCGCGTAAATCGTGACAGTTGAATTGTAGAGGGATTGAGGTGGGGTATAATTTTTACATGCCTACAAATTATGTTCGGATTTAAACAAAAAAACCTCACCGCATTCGTCACTCACACTTTTACTGTACTCATGTGTATTGGATGGCCTGCGAGGTGATTCTTTTTGTTTTATTTATGCTTGTGCACCTCTGCCAATGCCATTGATTGCGATTTTCACATGTATATTTATAAATGCACATTATCCGTTCTGCTTCGCAAGACGTTTTTATTATCGCTTTATATATTTAAAGGAACATCGTGACGTAACTCTGTGAAGCATCACGGAAAGCTCTTCCATTTAAGCAACAACAAAAATTAACGCGGGCAGATAACCGCAATTTTGCACGAGAAAACTTCAAATGCCCAATTGTGCACATTTATCATCATTTCACTAACTAATGTCGCGATTGCGCAGAATTTTAATTGACTGCTCGTTACTTTCAAGTTTTTCTCGGCGTGAATCAAAGCAGTGGCGGAGGAGTAGGGGGGAGGCGGGGGGGGGGGGGAAATCCTCGCATCTTCGATTTGGGATTTAATTTCTAAAAATCCTCCAAGTCGCGTGATCAAACGATTTTTAAGTGGTTTGTCGAATTTGTGTAATGGTGTGGGCCTCATTTCAGACTGATCTCACAATTAGCTCGTCGCTTCCTTTCATCAGCGTGCCGCCTCCAAGGTATTTGAAGGCATTAAGCCTTCAGCACTTAATGGGTCTACACGTCCACAGCTTCGCCCTTCATTGGCTCGCAATTACCGCTCGCCTTTGCCGTCTCTCAAGAAAAGGGCGTGAGCGAGCGAGCGAGCGGACGAGAGAGCGAGCCGGAGACGTGCACAAGGAATCGAAGCCAAGCGCAAATCCTGAATCTTTGTCCTAATGCGATGCGGGATGGCAAAGTGGCCGCCTGGGAAAGAATGTGGATCCGCAAGGCCTCACACGACCCCTAGAAGCATCCAGAATTCCGTCAAACCAAGTGGGTTAACCCGTGCAGTTTATGGGGGGGCGGGGGGGGGGTGTGCATGCGCGTGGGTGGCTGGCAGGCAGGGAAAGTGGTGGGGGCGCAGACTCGCAGGGGTTGCGTGAATGTTGTTTGTTTAAGCGTGGGATTTGCTGACACTCTTCCCCCATCGTCGTGGTCGTTGCAGCAGTCGCAGCCATCGCCGACACGCGGAAAACGCAGCTCCGCTCAAACTTGCTGGCCTTTGATGAGCCACCCAGCATCTTGACGTTCGGCAAAGGGTTGTTTTCAAATTTTTGTGGAGCGTAATTATTTTAAGTACAATGTTAAACGTTATTGAAAAGCTTCGTTCCTACCCGCAGAATGTAATTTTTTTAATCGAGGTTTGTTTTTTTTACTTGAACAGTGCGTGCTTGTTGAAGTCTAAAACAACATTGAACAGGAGCATAACAACGCGGCCATTCATTGATCAATACCGCTTCTCGAGCACACGATGCATCCATCGAATCGCATGCATGAGCGTCGGTGACTTTCAATTTGTATACGTTGTATGCAATTTGTTAACATGACCCAACCAGCCACTCGAGACCGCTACATTCACCACAGTAAAAAAAAAATACATTTATTCTTGAATAAAAATCACTTCCACGAATCTCAACAATTAATTGAGTGACAAGGAGGGGGGTGCGTACCACGTGAGCTCACCGCACGCGTCTCTACTCGTGGCAACGAGGTGCGCTTGAGGGCTGCCGTGACTTTGATCAGAGTTTGGCAGGTGCCGAAGCTTTGCGAAAAAACTTTGGAAGATCTTGTCACGGTAAATTGCCGCTGTGTTCCTCGTGTGGGCAACACAATCGCTTGAGCGACTTCCGAATAGCTCGAATAAGGTCATTGCCTGTCGGCAAAAAAAAAAAATCCGAGCGCGCGTCCACGATTAGGCCACCGTCAGACAGCATGAGGCACTCGTGAAGCGAAAAAAAACTTCCCGTTCTCGGGGCCCAAACAACGATCTCTGCGGTGGTGAAGAAAAAATACATTCCTCACGGTTAATTGTTTAAGCCTTCCAGCCAGAACCCCCGTTAAACAAACCTTAGAGTATATGATTATTATTAAAACTGGAGCAAATGATGGCAAGAGAGAGAGAGAGAGAGCAAGAGAGAGCAGCGAGAGCACGAGAGAGCGAGCGAGAACTCAAAGAGAAGTGTGAGTGACAGGCTTGGCCCAGCGCCCGGCTCGGGGCCAAATGAGACCCTTGTTTGGGAAACCTTATCTCGACGACGCTGAGGGCCCAGTGGCCCCAAGCCAAAGGGCCCCAACTCTTTATGCGGGCCTCTTGAAAGCCTCTCCGCAGGAATTTCCTTTAGCGGGGACCGCTCTGTGAAAAGCACAATTGCGAATGGGGGGGGGAGGCACTCCTACAAGTCCACATGCCACAGCGGGGATCCCTAATTGAATTGTCAGCGGTGTTGGAGCGTGAGGGAGAAGCCTCTATCCCGCCGTTTTTGGTGTGTGCCTGTGTATGTGTGCGTGCGTAGTGGGGAGCGGTAGCGGAGCGGTTAGTGCGCTGCGCTACGAAGCTGGCGCCCTGAGTTCGATACCCGCTCACGGCCAGCAACTACCAGTGACAGTTGTCTGAGCCAGTCCTGGGCCTCCCCTAGATCGACTCAGCCTCAAATGAGTATCTGGTGCGGTGTGTAAACATCGCCACTGGGGAGACAAAGGCGGCCGGGCGTGGTGCTGGCCACGCACTCCCTCGTGTGCCGTGCCGGCTTTCATAGGTGCTCGCTAACAGCACTTTCCCCAACAGTCTGTTCCGGCTATACGGGGGAAATGTGCGTGTGCATGCACGTAAATGTGTGTGCGTGTGTGTCTGCGTATGTGAGCAGCGGTATAGTGGTTAGCGCGCGGCGCTACGAAGCCAGCCAACCAAATTAAATTCCCGCTCACAACCGATAACAGTCCTGGGCCTCCTCTATACAAACTAAAACTGTAAACTATTTTTTTTATTTTACCAGGTAAGGCCCTCGGTCGACTCAGCCTTAAATGCAGTGTGTAAATATCAGTATTCGGGATACAAAGGCCACCAGGCATGGTGCTGGCCTCCCACCCCCTCGTGTGTCGTACTAACCTTCATTGGTCCTCACTAACTGCACTTGCACAAACAGCCTGTTAAAGGCTATATGGGAGAGCTTTGCCTTTGTGCACTTGTACATCTGTATGTATGTGCGTGCATACTCGTGTTAATGTGGGAAAATTGGTGCAGTGGTTAGAAACACTGCCCTTCAACACCTGGCCACCTGAGTTGATTCCCAGTTACGGCTAACACCAGTGACAGGTGAGACCAAAACCTACCCTGGGCCTCCTCTACACTGGCTCTGCCTTAATATTAGTGACTGGTGCAGTTTGTAAACATCAACATTGCGGAGACAAAAGTGGCAAGATTTAGTACTGGCAACATCCCCCTCATGCACCGTGCCAGCCTGAATTAGGTGCTCTCCAACAGCACTTGCCCCAAAAGTTTGTACAGTTAAACAGGTGATCTATGTTGTTTTTTTGTTTAGGTGGGTTAATCACTGTGTGTATATAAGTAGACGCTTCCATACACTCTTGTTTATCCATCCCCAAAGGTAAAGATAAATCATCTGTTGGTCAATCCACTGCCGATTCACATCTTGCCCAATCCACTCCTCTCCCGCGCTGTCTCAGTCGTACGGGTCGCTTGGCCGTGCCCCCTCACCGCGTGGGTCAGTGCGAGTTGGTGAACAGGAAAGGGCCTGGACCCGTTCAGAGATCACTCGCCACTGTTGGCAGCCACAGGCAGGATTCCAACTCAGGCCATCGGGTTCATAGCAACGGTGCAAGCACCAGCAGCACGCCCCCACCCGCCCCTCTCGCCAGCGTTCTCCCCAAAATGTACTATTTATATAACATTAATTATGTAGAGAATGTCCAAGCTAAACAGTCGGTGTACACCTGCTCTCATGAACAGTCGGTGTGCTCATCTCCATTCGCGATGCTGAGCCATGGGTGGAAATTCCAAATTCAAGTTGGCGGGGGGAGGTGGGGGCAGGGGTGGGGATGGGGGGAGAAACGAATCCATGGAACACCCCCCCCCCCCCAATGGCTTCTCATCACGAGATGCAGCCTCACCAGCTGGTGCTCATGTTCCCAGCTCCCAGGAGGGTGATGAGGCTGCGGAGACCCTGGGCCAGAGAGATATGAACTTTCATTGTATCTCAAAATGATATCTAAAACTCGAGAGCCCTGATGTTCACCTATGGCAGGCACTGGTGAACTCCCGTAGTAGTTTGTAAAGTAAGACACAAATGTACCCTCTCATGCACGAATTATTAAGCACAAAAAAAGTAATTTTGGTTTCCCGTTTAATGTGATTTTAAGCATCAATTGAAAGGCTCAAAGCTGTTGGAAAGGCCTTCGTATTATTTAACAGCGGTCAAATAAACCACGGCAAGGCCACCGCAATGACGCTTGGAAGGCGATTCACAAACACAGCGGGATTTTCACCCCCCCCATCCCAACACCCACAAAAAAAGTCATAGCTACAGGCAATTTTTTAAGTTATGATTTTGGATTCAAAGACATTTGACCTCTCGCTGCGAGAGTCAAAGTGGCACGGCAGAGCGCGGCGGTTGGCCAGGGCAGCGGCGTTGGCCATGGCGGCGGTACCAGCAGTGCCCATCCCTTTGCCACCCACTACGTGGGAGATGCCCCCCCCCCTTCCCTTCTCCAGCGCTCTCCGCCGCCGTAATTGCCGTGAATTGCGGCCGTGGCGGCGGAGGCAGTGGTGGTGGCGGCAGAGCAGTTATGGCTGTCATCTTATTTTTTCCCCGAGGGTGCCCCGGTCGTGGGTGAGCGAGTCCTCAAAAGAAAGTAGTGTTGGTTTTGACACGTGAATGGCACCCTGTAATTAATGCCCCAGCTCCTCCCACCCGTGCTTAAATGCACACCCGAGGAAGTTCAAAGGCAAACCGGTTGACATGTCGTGGGGTTTTTTTTTTGCCTCTACGTACCATCTTAACTTTAATTAGTGAAGTGGTTGCAGCGTCGGCTCGGTCGCGCGCGTGCGTGTGCTCGTGCGTGTTCGTGCGTGTGCGGAGTGCGTGTTAAGCTGTCAAGTTACATGACGCAACCTCAGATGCGGAGTGAGTGGAGGCCGCGCGTTGGGTTCGTCCCGCAAATGTTGGCAAGCAACGAAAGGCCCTCGAGCTGTTTCAACTTCTAAACAGTTTCCTAACGTGTCCCGTTCTCTCCATTGTGATTTTCAGCGGCCCCCATATATTATTGATGTACACATTTTAAGCGTGTGTGTGTGTGTCAGAATAATGCGGTTCTTATTATTTTATGCGGGGGTTAAGGAAACAGCAAAACAAAAGGTCACAGCTGTTTAATGTAAATGTTTTGTTTGGGTCATGGAAAGTCTGCTCTGCTCTTTGCCTAACAGGCACTCAGTGTGGTGTGTGTGTGGTGCTGGGGAGCGGTTAGCGCGCTGCGCTATGAACCCGGTGATCCGGGTTCGATTCCCGCTCACGGCCAACACCAGTGACGATTATCTGAACCGGTCCTGGGCCTCCCCTAGGTCGACTCAGCTTCAAATTAGTACTTTGTGCGATATGTAGAAACTTTGCCACTCGGGAGACAAAGGCAGCCGGGCGTGGTGCTAGCCACCAACCCCCTCGTGTGCCGGCCTTCATAGGTGCTCGCTAACAGGACTTTCCCCAAAAGTCTGTAAGGCTATAAGGGGGATCTTTGTCTCTTGTGTGTGTGCTTGTGGGTAAGCTCTCTGGGTCTTCTCGGCCACAGTTATGCCCTCCCTTCTCTAACTTGGAGCCCTTTAAAGGAACATCTGCATCAATTTGAAACATTCAGGCTGGCCAGTCTACGATCTGTCCCAGGTTAACCAGATCGGATTGTGTGAGGAGCACACAGATCCTTGAAAGATCTGGACACAGTCCCATCAGTGAGCTTCTCTGGCAGGCAAGGCTGCATTGGCTGGGTCATGTAAACCGCATGCCCAGCCACCTCATGTCTAGGTAGCTTCTGTTTGGATGGAAAGAGGGGAATAAATGGGAATGGCATGGGGCAGAGGAGCGATGGACTGATGCAGTGCAGTAGGATGTGGAGCTGATTGGACTTCCCGGTGTCAAGATCGGCCTCTGTGAAAGAGGCTCACGAAGGACGTTACTGGGTAGTTAGAGGCAGACACCCTCCAGCAACAGCAGGGGGTGGATAAACGATGCTCACAACAACGAGTGGAGCGCCGGGCGACTAAAAAGCAGCAAGTTGGCACTTTAGGAAGCACAGCTGGTGCATCGGCCAGTCATCCGAGTCAAGTCAACCCATGTTACTTGGGTCTGTTCCATAATCTCCTGCTAGCTAGCCTTCAACAGTTCACTTAGCCTCAAGGTGCACCTAGCCTGGCACAAGCACCATAATGATCTCGCCGCCAGATAGTGGTGAACTACGATTGTTGTTGTTGTCGTACGAGCAGTGTATATAATTGGGAGCGCTTGCGTAATGGTTCACGCAATGCACATCAAACACGGCGAATCGAGTTCAATACCTGTGGCGCATATCCCAGCTTCTCCTGCAACTCCCAGAAATCGACTCAGCCTTAAATGAGTACCCAGTGCATCGTGTCATAAACATCAGCTGTGGGGGAGACAAAGGTGATTGGACATGGTACTGGCCACCCACCTCCTCGTGTGCAATGCCAGGCATCATAGGTGCTCGCTAACAGCATTTCCCTCAACAGCCTGATAACAATAACAATGTCTTTTGTCTCCACACGTTCTGCGCATGTGGGTGTATATGTACGTCCGTCCGTATGTCCACGTGTATCCCAGATACTGTGTGTGTCCTGTACACGTGTCTCTCTGCGTGCGATGGGAAGCTCAGTTGGTGCATCTGCCAATCAGAATCAGCATCTGTATTCATCCTGGAGCCAGTCAACCCATGGCACCCGGTGGTCTGTTCCATGGCCTCCTGCCAGCCAGCCTTCGACACTTCACGTGATAGCCTCAAAGTGCACTTAGCCTGGCACAAGCGCCGTGGTGACGTCACCGCAACTTGGTAGTCAACGGCGGCGGCTGTTGTTGTTGTTGTTGCTGCTGCCGTGCGTGCAGGCCCAGCGAGCCCGGCAGCTACAGGGCGGCCGATTGCTCAGCCGGCGACAACGACCATGGCCTCCTCCCGGCTCCCATCCACGTCGGTACGTTTTCGAACGCCCCCCCCCCCCACGGCACCCCAACTACCCCTCACTACACTCCACCCTTCCTCACCCTCAGACCCTCCGCACATTCCGTGAAGCATTACACCCGTGTCTAATTTTAACGCAGAATTCCCGGTGCGTGCGTGCGAGAGGGAGAGGAGGGGGAACGTCTGCGCACGGACCGAAGTGTGGGAGAGCGCGCTTGGCGTTCGCCGCTGCTGACGGCTTTTGCTATCGGAAGGTTGACGAGATGAAATCTTGATATGGATGGCGAGGGGGGGTGGCAGGCAGGCAGGCAGGGTCGACTCAGCCTATCGCCCCTCTGAGGTTACTAAAATGAGTACCACGTGCACGCAGGCACGCACGCACGCACCCACACATGATGTTCCCGCGGTGTCACCCGACCACCCACCGTACGGACGGACGGACTTGTTTATGTTGGCGGAGCGCTCGACAAATTGCTTACGAGTACCGTACCCGCTTTGTGTGGAGATTAGGATGATTTATTGTTCTGCGGCGCATACTGGGGACCCGTCATAGTAATGTGGAATTTCCTCCACCATGTGTGTGGGGTCGCCGCCGAAGATAAGCTCTGTCCCACTCTCGCTTGAGTGATTGTGCACGAACGGCCGCTTGATCATGATCAATCCACTGCTGGATTAGGGCCTCCGTGTGCCCGTGCGTCATTGGCTAATTTGACCATACTTCACCACCATGGTCAGTGCAACACAGATATGGGAGCGTAGAAGTAGAGTTCAACAATGCCCTCTGCTGACAACGTAGCCTCACATCATTTAAACGACGTGCTTTGAGTGGTAATCAGGCATCATTGAGTTGTGACAGACTGTAGGTCAAATGTACCTTTCCTTGTGCTCTCAATGTCCTAGCACAGGGAGTACAGCTCAAGTTTCCTTCCTTACAAGACGTACACACGTTGGCCTACACACACATAGATATATAAAAAATATACAGTATATATAAAGATCTTCCAAATAGCCTTTTACAAACTGTCGGGGCAAGCGCTCTTAGCGAGCACCTATCAAGGCCGGCACGATGCACAAGGTGGCCAGCACTCTCTCCACTGCTGATGTTTACACACCACACCAGCTACTCATTTAGGGCATAGTTGGCCTAGAGGTGCCCCGTAACAATGGTTGATACCACTCGCCAGTGATGTTAGCTGTGGACAGGAATCGAACCCAGGTAACTGGGTTCATAGTGCATTGGTTGAACTACAGCACCACCATTCCCCACGTATAGAAGCATGATGAAAAAAAACGCCTGTGCTCCTCACCGAACCACCTTGCTGTAGTTTAACCACCCAGAAATCCGCTCGTCGCTGTGAGCGTCGCTCCCCCACCCTCCCGTTGATTGCTAGAAGAGGGCCAGCTTGCACCCCCCCCAGCTGCCCCTCGCAGCAGGCAGGACGGGATGCCACTGGGCACACACAAACGTACGCAATGTCTACAGCGAGACAAAGACTCTCGCCGCCTCTCGCCGTGCAGACTGTTTGGGGGGGCCCGAGCGCCGTTAAGTGGGCAGCGCAACGTTTGAACGCGTCGCGTGTGTCGCCCCGGCCACCCGCAGGTAAATACCTTCGGCAGAAGCGCATTGACTTCCAGCTCCCCTACGACATCGATTGGCAGTGGAAACACTTTCAGGTGAGTCACCGCCCCCCCCCCCCGCCCCCCCCCCCCCCCGGCAGGGCGAGACGCGGACCGGCGTGCCACGCTCGCACGGGTCGGCGGCGACGCGCCCCACCCGCGCTCACCACTCGTGCCGCCAGATGCGTGCACCGTTTGGTTCGCGCGCGGCTCCGCTTGGGCTACGTACGGCGCGAAAGGAGGTCAGCGCGCGAACATTACGCGCGGACGCGTTTTGAATTTTGGTGCATGGGTACACAATTGGCCGTCCGCAAGTCCAGCGTGTGCGGCCGTTAGACTGAGTAGCCTGAATACATGTTGACATGTGCGTCCTTAAAAATGTCAAGAGTTACTGCTCCACGGAGAAACTGGCCCACGCCATAGGAATGCGGAATTTCACCACTGGCTCAAAGCCTCCGTAGGTTGACACTTTGTTCCAGGCTCGCATATTTGCGAAAGGACTGAAACGCATCTCTTTGGAGACTTGCCCCCCACTTATTGATGGTGAAATCAGTACTGGATGTTTTTGCCAAAAATTCAACACAAGCTAACATCCTCCAATACTGGAATCAGGCTTGAAAGATTTTGGCTCTAAAAAAAGATATGTACAGCCATGGCGCAACGGTTAACGCACTAACATCATCCCGGCCAAGGCTAACATCAGAAGTAGTGATATCTGAACTGCTTTTTTGGGTTTCCTTCTCAGCAATTCCACACCGACCATCAATGGGGAGGCTTTCGTCTAGCAGTGGATTGATGATGGGTTTGCACGTTATACGTGTATTGTGCATACAAAAAAAAACATATCAAGGCTATGAAAAATAAACTCGCCTAATGTTTTGGCCGGGGCTCAGTGCGCGGAGCGTAAATCGCTCGCCCGTTTAGCCCGCGGTGTCATTCCAGGTGACCTGGTTAATTATTTAAAGGCAGACGGTTTAAAAGAAATGTTATGATTAGGATTACGAGTTATTTCCACAGGACAATTCTTTGCGGAGCGTGACCCCCGCGCCCGCTCCGCGGAGGTCGCATCACGCCGCGCCGGTGCCCTTGTAGAGACGGCGTTTGTTTCGCGTGCTGTTTTTTTGGCAGCACGACGCAGACAGTGATTCACATTTTCCATCTGGCGGCGCGGCCCGGCCCTTCTGTGAAGCTTTCCAGAACCAACGCCGCTTCTTTTTATAAGTCGCTCCAAACCCCTGCAAACTCCACTCCCCCCCCCCCCCAATTTGCCTACTTTGCCAGAGAAACCGTGTTGGTTGTAGGTGTACATTGAGCTTAATTGTGACGCTACGCACGCTCGCGCGATGCTCCCCGAGTTGCGTTTTTGATCACACAACGTACGCGTAAATGAACGTTTTTGTTTAGCGTCGTTCAAAAAAATGTATTTGCCGTGCTCTCCGGATCACAATATCTTGTGGAGAGTAAGGTGCACCGGAAAACTCGTGCGTAGCTGGTGTCAATAAAGTTGCAGAGATCTGGTGTCACAAACACGCGCACGCGCGCACACAGACGCAAGCCTACCGTATTGCAAGATGCATTCCTAAAACTTTGCTTTAAAACGCAGGGGGGGGAAAGTGCGTGTTATAATACGGAGCATACGATCATAGGTTTGGATATATATATATGTGTGTATGTGTGTGTGTTACGTGATGGCCTCAAGGTGCACATGGCCTGGCACAAGCGCCGTGGTGACGTCACTGCCACTTAGTGGCGAATGGCAGTTGTTGTTGTGATGTAATGGTGAGCACATTGAACTTGTAATCCCCCCCAGGCCTTGGTGCAACCAGCAGTATAAATGGGTACAGCACAGATAAGTCAATTGGCAGGCAGCGTGTGGTGGCATAAAGTGTTGGGTATCCCCCACCTCTTGCAAGGCCTCTGGCCAGTCAGCGTGAAAGAGTTGGTCAAATGAAGCAATTGGCAGGACCCCGGAGTGGGAAAAACCGCGTAGCGACACGAGTCTTGCCTTAACGCCACCAGAATTAGTGTCAATCGATTGGCCTGGTCGAGAGCTACTCGGGGCACTAAGTTTCGTAAAAAGTTGAAAAATTACATAAACACGTTAAATTCACTGCCTGGGGGGGGGGGGGGGGGGGGCGGCAGGCTCGCCTTGGCAAAGAAGCTGAGGATCGACGGCTGACCGGAGGGCGTCGTCGCCGCGCGCGACTGCGGCGGACGCCCCCCGGGGCTTGCGTTTGGCCGGTGGGGTGGCGCCCATCGTGTCGATCGCCGTCTGCTGGCGCTTGTTGGCGCGAGTCTGGACGGGCGGCGCGTTGCTGTCGGGATCACGAGTGGGCGGACTGAAAAATAATAATTATTGACCTGATTTTTGCGGGACCCCGGGGTCCCACCAAATGATTCAAATACCCCCTTGCCTTCTTGCTCCCGCTGGTGAGGCCCTTCCTCCAGCAGTGCTGCACGTTTGCCTTTCACGCAAATGTGTTTAAAACGCACCACGCTCTGCGCCTGCCTGTGATTGACGAGCGCTTGATCATCCGACGACGCGACAGCGCGCGGTGTCGCGTCGTCGGGAACGCCCGCTGACTCAGCTGGTTTTTTTGGACGTAAATCTCAAGCGCGCACGTGCGCCCTCGCGCCAAGCGGAATGAGATCCTTGAGATCGCGCGCGCGCTAACATCCGTCCGTAACGACGATGACCTTACGGTTCCCGCTAAGCTCGAGCAGGTGCAAGCTGAGCGAGGCTCCGTCTTGCCACCACGAGAATCATTACACCCTCTTAATTGCCCTGTAATTCTCAGCATCGGCCGTAATGGCGCCCGGCTTCATGGCGTCTTATGGCAGTCGGACCAGCCGAATGATTTTGTTGGATTTTTTTTTTCAAAGAGGTACTGGTTTCACTTGAATGTGGCGGGACTTTCCACAGCAGCCTCGGCCACGAGACGTCCGTGAGGCTCTGCCGGCCGGCGTGTTTTGGTAGAGTTTGATTAAATGAGACGGGAGAGAGGATGAAGGTGGGCTGTGACGGCTGGGAAAAATAAATTGAAGAGGCAATACAGTTCATAATTTATAATGCAATGTAATAAATACACACAGTATATATGTTCCACTGTTCTAATGATACAAGTGTGTAATAAGTTACAGCCGTTTATCAATACACCACTGGGTGGAGGTTCTACCCTATGTTATGTTGGGTCATGGGGTTTGTTTGACCATACTTCGCCATGCTGGTTAATTGCAAGTTGTTGAAGAAAGAGGGTGCCCAGGACCGGCTTGCATGTTGCCCATCGCGGAAGTGAATCGAACTCGTGTCACCAGGTTCAGTAGCGGGGTGCGCTAACCACTGTGCCACCACTCCACCCCGTGTTGTTCAGTTTGCTCGTCTTCACCCAATACTTTTTGTCAAACTGATTCACCGATGTTTTGTAGCTTGGAGAATGCATTTATTCCGCGTCTTTTCAAAACTGAAATCGCATGAATTCAGGCGTGTTAATTTTACGGCGACAGATTTGAACGTAACAACAACAAAACACTCGATTCGTCGCTTAAAATCAATCCCTCTGCTCACGATCCACGCGTCGAATCGTGTCTGTAATAATTGCTTATTTATAATTTAAAATAAACGATACGCGGATATTTGAAGCTAATGGCGCTATAAAAAACTGCGCAAACAAGACAAAAAAAAACGAGAAACAGTCATAAAAATACGGTGAAAATTTGATTAAAAAGGACAAAATATTAACAAATTGCAAGTATGGAATTATGACAACTCATCAAAAGCATTCACTGGGGAGCTGAATCGCTACGAGCCTATTGCTAATAGTCACCCAAGTTTGATTCCCGCTCACGGCCACCAACACCAGTGACGATTATCCGAACCGGTACTGGGCCTCCCCTAGGTCGACTTAGCCTCAAATTAGTATCTGGTGCGGTGTGTAACCATCGCCACTCTGGAGACAAAGGCGGCCGGGCGTGGTGCTGGTCAACCAAACCCTCGTGTGCCGTGCGGTCCTTCATAGATGCATACTGACAGCACTTGCCCCAACAGGCTGTGAAGGCTACGAGGGGCGATCTCTGTCTCTTTGTTGTCTTTAATTTGCAGCTGCTGAAAAAGCCCGACGTGCCGCTCTACAAGAAAATCCGATCGAGTGAGTGGAGCGGGGCCCGGTCCTACGCACGGCGCGCCCGCGGAGTGACGGGTGGATTGTTTGGCTGTCACAGCCTTCGGGGAACGGCGGTGGGGGGTAGGGGGAGTTTATGGGATGGGGAGGGTGGTGGTGGTGGTGGGAGGGGGCATTGGCGTGTTCTTAGACTAAACGCGAAAAAGCAATTAGTGACGTGACATTACATTTTGAAAAGCAACTGTTATTTTGGGCAATCGTGAATTGTTTCCGAAAATAATTGCAGTTTAAATTGAAAATGGGGCCAAACAATTTTAACTGATGCAATGCCATAACATTTCAGTGCGATTTTAATTAACCCCCATAGTCTGACCAGTACCAAACTGGGAATTTATTTTCTGTGTTTTTTTTCATTTTCCATTGTGGAAAGTTGTATTGAGGAAGTTTTTTTTTTCTTTTTTTTGTACGCTCGAAATGCTTTTCCGTACGGGCACACAGTTTAATCTGGTAATTGAATCTATTTACATCGGGCACTTTACTTTGATGGAAGATTTTTTCCCAGTGCTGAAAGGCACGCGCGCGTGTGCTCCCAATCACCCGCCTGCCTCTCCTTTGGCAGAATGGAATTTAAGTCACATCAACAGAGCCTAGGCGAAATTGTTGAATGGCTCTGTCGCGGACCGTCCCACACAAGATTTCGGTGACGCTGCAGTAAACCGCACGGCAGTCGTGCTTGCAGTGATGTTTTTGGAGCGCTTCACTGCGGTGTGCCTGAAAGTCAATTTAAAGCTTTTTTGTTTTTTGCTTATTAACAAAACTTCAAACTCATCCCGGAGTACAATGCACAAAACCGAAGTTGCGTATCTACAAGAGGCAGTTTGGTTTTTGGGTTGCCTTTTCCTTTCCTAAGACAAGAGTAATTTTCTTCAGCACAAGTGGGCTCAGATGCTCCAGGCCAATGCAGCCGAATCAATCTCAGTTCGCTGTGAAGCGCGCTCGTCATATTCCGGAATCAGACAGCTTTGAACACAGAACCATTGTGGCTGGATATTCCCGTCGTGGTTTGCGGGGATCGATGCTCTCCGTGTGGTGCTTCCCGCGGCAGATGTGTTTGTGGACATGAAGCCTTTGTCGGGGTGCGAACCGGTCTCCTGCAGCTGCAAGAGGCCCGAGGAGACGGACGATTCGGCATGCACGGAGGGCTGCCTTAACAGGTGCGGTGCTGAGCACAAATTCGCCTTGGACGGCTGTTGTGAGAAGAACGCACGTTGGCTGGAGACGCGTCGGATGTACGCCGCACGCAAGCAGCACGCTCCGCGTGCCATTGGCTTTGGAAATCGATCCCGAAGGGGCCTTGCGGCTTCTGCGTTTGCTGTAAACTCGACACTGTTGTTTCGTTGACCGTAAACTATGCTCAGGTGACCAGTGTAAAGATCACATCTAAAAAAATAAAAACCTAAATAAAACAAACTCAAGGGGATGACGGTTGAAGAGTTGACTTTGAGTCTTTTTCACTCAGAGCAGCTCACTTTGGCAGAACATTTCGCCTCCCCAAGTCACCATTTGTGGCAACAATGCAAATACAATGAGTGAGTCCAATAAATAATTTGCGCTCTTTTATTTGGGTCGCTGACAACTGTGCTCTTTCCTAATTATCGACAAACAACGGCAACAACAGCACTGACGACGACAACGATGGTGACTTCAATCATGATGATGTCCGATCACGATTATAGTCCCTAACTCTACCCTCTGCTGCCATCTGGCCACTCTCCTGCTCTTGCCACGTCACACATCCCCCCCCCCCGCTCGCCCCCGCCGCGCCCCAACCCTGCCCCCATCCGTCCCCCCCTCCTCCATCCAGGCTGGTGTACGCAGAGTGCGTGCAGTCGAGCTGCCCCTGCGGGGAGCTCTGCACGAACCGGCGATTCCAGCGGCAGGAGCGCTCGGCCGGCTTGGAGCGGTTCCGCACGACGGATCGCGGCTGGGGCGTGCGCACCACGCACCACTTCCAGGCCAACGACCTCATCATCGAGTACCTGGGCGAGGTGCTTAGCGAGGCCAATTTTCGGTGAGGGCCGCCGCGCGCACCCGTCACACGTTTTAGCTGGGACACGAAGCACGCGGTGTTTAGCGCAGAGGCTCGCGCCCTGGGTTGCAAACCCCGGCGGCCCGAGTTGGATTCCTAGCTGCGGCCAACTTCGGTGTTAAAATGTGGACCTCGTCCAGGACCTTCCCTAGGTCACACGAGGCCCTGTTATGAGTTACCTATTGCGGTGTGTAAACATCGTCAGGCCTTGGAGAGATAAAGGTAGGCGTGGTGACGACCACACCACCCCCACATGCCTATATAGGCAACATCGGTAACATTTGTCTCGTGTGCACATGTGTGTCTGAGTCTGAACCCAGGGAGCGGTGGTGCAGTGGGTAGCACACAGCGGTACAACCCGAGTTCAATTCCCGCTCACGACCAATAACAGTGGCGAATATTTGAATCGTGCCTGGGCTTCTCCTAGGTTGACTCAGCCTTAAATGAATACCTGCAGCGGTGTGTGAAACATCAGCACTGGGGAGACAAAGACGGCCGGGCATGGTCTTGGCCACCCACCCCCTCGTGTGCCATGCCGGCCTGCTTAGGTGCTATTCGCTAAAAGCCCTTCCCCCCACAGACTCTTAAAGGCTACGGGGGGGGGTGACGTTTGTCTTCATGTTTTCGCACCCAGAAGCCGCATGTTGGCGCAGCGCGGCGAGCAGGCCGGCATGTACTGCGTGCAGCTCGACAGCGGCGTCGTCATCGACAGCTACCGCATGGGCAACGAGGCACGCTTCATCAACCACAGCTGCCAGCCCAACTGCGAGATGCAGAAGTGGTGCGTGTCCCACGTGTGCGTGTGTGCGTGTCGGTGTGTCCGCGCGAGCGTGTGAGCGTGTGTGTGTGGGGAGCGGCGGCGCAATGGTTAACGCACCGCGCTACGAACCCAGCGACCCGAATCCCATTCCTGCTGTCGACCAAAAACGGTGGCAAACATTTGAACTGGTGCTGAGCCTCCCCGATGTCGACTCACCCTTTGATGAGTACCTGGTGAGCTGTGTGAAACATCAGCACCACGGAGGCAAAGGTGGACAGGTGTGGCCAGTGGCCACACCATTCCCTCGTGCCCCCTGCCAGTCTTAATAGGTGCTCGCTAACCCCACTAGTTTTTAAAGTACATATCGAGGACATTAGTCTTCTGTGCGATTGTGAACGCATACGTGTGCATAGAATCATAACGTCGCCAGTGTTCTTTGGGAAGTCAAAATAAGGCAGCAAACCCATGCTCAAATAAACTGGCTCATCCCCCTTGGTGGTCCTGAGCCTTTGGCAGAAATTCCACATTTTTATGGCATTGGCCCGTCTTTCTCTATGACACTGCCACTGTTGTGGCTCCGCAAAGTGGTGGCTGTCCATCTGCCATCACCTCTGTATGACCCCGCGGTTTCATTTCTGACGATTGGTGTTGATAATCTGTCCCGTGTTATGAAGCGATGGTACCGCAGGCTGCCGACGGCTGTAAATTAACAACTTAATTGACTGATTGATGAAATGACTCACGCCCACCCCCCCTCCCCCCGTGGACACGACTCGGGCCACACTTATGCACGGTGCACGGTGCACAGTGCGTACATGTCAGCGCTGGGGGAGACAAAGGTGGCCGGGTGCTGCCTGCACCTCCCTCTCGCGCACCGAGTCATCGTGAACTTGTGCTGGGCTTCCTGTCGGTCGACTCAGCCTTTAACGAGTTCTCGGCGCCGTGCGTGAACATCAGAAAGAGGTGGCCGGGAGTGGTGCTGGCCACACCACTCCCCTTGAGTGCCGTGCTGGCCTAAATGCGTGGTCAATAACTGCACTTGCCCCAACAGTCTAAAGGCCTTTGCCTTTGTGTGTGTGTGGGCGTGTATTGGCAGTAGTGCACCAGGCGACCCGGGTTCAATTCCCACTCACGGCCAACTCCAGTGAGGATTATCTGAACCGGTTCTGGGCCTCCCTTAGGCCGACTCAGCCCTAAATGAGTGCTTGGTGCGATGTGTAAACATCGCCACTGGGGGGACAAAGGTGGCCGGCGTGGTGCTGGCCAACCGACCCCTCGTATGCCGTGCGGTCCTTCATAGGTGCCTGCTAACAGCACTTTCCCCAACAGGCTGTGAAGGCTATAGGGGGATCTTTGTATTAATCTTCATTGGCGTGCGCAATAATGCACGGCTGGCCGCTGTTGCGAATGCGGGACGGTGCCGGCTGCAGGTCGGTCAATGGAATCTATCGCATTGGGCTCTTCGCACTCAAGGACATTCCAATCAGCACGGAGCTAACCTACGACTACAACTTCCACACCTTCACCGCAGAAAGCCAGGTGCTGCATTCGAATTAACTCCCCCCCCCGTGTTTTATTTTTTTTATATTTGTTCACCCCATGTCGGGCCAAAACTGGAACGGCCAAGAATAAGTCAGCTTGGCGATTTGCTGCATTTATTTGGGGTAGCGGAGACGCACCGCCAAATCTTTTTTTCTTGCCGTTGCCAAAAAAATAACGAAAAAATATGAGCGTTTTGTCGAGATGTGAATGGGGCCCAAAGTGTCTCCACGTTCATGGAGTGGTGCACATTTGTGTTGGCAGCCTCGAACCAGTGTGAAAAAAAATCCACATTTCTGCAGCGGGCACCAGAATTCACCCCTAAATAAACAAACAAACAATTGTTTATTTCTCATAAAGTGATAACTAATTGTATCCCCCCCCTCCTGCCCCCCGGAGAGATTAAATTAAAGATGCCAACATTTTCAAATCGTATATTCATATCGGTATTAATCTCTGTAACTTACAGGCCCGATAACTCTCGGTAAACGTATACACGTCGTAAATAATCGCTGTTGAGGTGCATTATTCAACGCATGCATTCTACTTAATTAATATTGATTAATTATTTTTGTTCTTATCTGTTAGCTGTGTGTGCGTGTATATATATACAACACACAAGGTGCTGTCCATCACGTGCTGTAGATCCCACACGGTGCGTTGAAGGAAAACGCGCACAACACCAACAATGCTTCTCTTGCCAAGGATATTTACAGAAAGTTGCCGCCCTTCCCCAAGTAACAACATTTTGGCCCTCAAACGTCAAAAAGCAACGTCTAATACAAACCGAAATCTAACAGAAGTGTGACTCGCGTTCCATGGGTAGATTCTTCCGGAAGATAGGTTCCACGATTGATTCATGTTTAAAGCTAACGTTTGGGCATGACGTCATTGTCCCTGAAGCCATGCATATGGTTTAGACGCAGTGACGTCGCCCAATACATAGGGCTGATGAATGCCGTGATGATGTAATCGCGCTTAACGTTGACTCCTCATGCAATGCGTACGGGGGGGGTGGGGCAAGGGTGTTGGCGAAGTTATATCCCGTGCGAAGGTTTCTGGCGGCGATAGTACGCTCCATAAATCTGAAACGCTGGCCGGTGTGGTGATTGTTGGAGTGAACCGTGCGTCAGAAATGCGAATGGAGATTTTTTTTTCAACAATTACTGTGCTTAAAAAAAATAACGTTCGGTAATGGCGCCGGGCTCCGGTGTTTATCCCCACAGCGGCCGTGCCTGTGCGGTTCCCCAAACTGCCGCAACGTCATCGGCGGGAGGAGCCAGCGAACATGTCAGGCCGGGCGGCTGGGCCACGGCAGGGCCCACCAGCGCAAGGCCAAGCACAGGCTCAAGAAGCTGGTGGGTGGAGCCATGGCCAAAATATTACGATAAATATATAAATGTATAGTGTCCATTGAGCTCTCGCCGGGTATTAAACTGGCAATTCACCAGCATTGGTTCGAGCAAGCCTGACTCTGCTGGTGAGACACTGCATGTCACAACCGCTCCAGAGTTTTCTTATATTGACCCAATGCTGCTGAAAGATATATAATGCCTTGCTTATACACTTTCATTTACTTTTTAATTATTGTAGGGTTTTTCTGGAACTCAATAGTTACTATGAGGTAATCATTCATGTGCCTATTCAAAAATGTTCATCAGAAAAAGAAAAGGCTTAATTCTCATCAGGCCCCATGATGTAAACAAGTGCCATCTCCTTATCCACTCCATATCTCTTTTGGACTCTTTATTTATGTGCTAACAAGAAGAGACATTGCCTAAAATGTCGCCTATTATGTATTATTATCATAATGAATTGACTTCAGAAGTATTTCCACGATAGCAGCTTCCTGGGCCATTCTACTCCCTCTGAGAGTGTCTCTCAAGAACATGGCTTTTACAACACAATTTAAATGTGATTTTTGTGGGGGGACAAGCAAACGTTTATATATATTTTTTTTGTAAAGGGAATCTCGCGGGGTGCAATCGGGCTGCCCCCTAGAGTCTCGTCAGCTCCCTCTCGAAAGTGAGCGTTGCAATCGATGGCCGGGTCCGTGGTCCAGGAGCGCTGTCCGCCACGTGATTTGTCCGCCCTGCGGCACTCCCGCGCCAGGTGCGTCGCTAATTGAGGCGACTGCAGATCGGGCGTGGGGGGAAAAAAAATACAAAGAGATTTTATCGTCTTTATCTTTTCGGTAAGGCGACCAGCACCTGGCATGACTGACTGACGAACGATTTAAAAAGATATATATCCAGACCAGAGAGGGCATTGCGTCCAGTAAGAATTCGCACTGAAAGCTGAGCACAATACCCACGTGGGTTGGTGTCACTACAAGTGTGTAAATTTTTTTACATTTATGTTTGAAGTGAGTAGCCGAGGGTCTCTGGAATCAAACAACCAAGCTGGCACTACTAAGACCCTGTTTTAGACTCCTGTGGTTGAACTGGGTTCTCAGGTGTAGTGAATTTATGGTCTCAGCTTATAGGTTACCAATATTTTTTTTCACTTGAAGAGATTTCAGAAATAGTTCCGTGATATCGCCTTCCACTGGTCATTCTATAGCATTGTGCGATGCACTAATCTGCCAGAGTTCCGAACTGATATTTCTGACATGTCAATACATAATGCCAATGTCACAATTAGATTAAACTTGGGGGGGGGGGGGAATTGTTTTTCACGTAATGTTTAACAATTGAATAATTGTTCTGTTATCATCCATGCCCGGGGCAGCTGCGATCAAGCCCCGAGAGGCAGGCGTCCAAAGATGCCTCCAGCCAGGTGGCCGATCTTTGGCCGATGCAAGCGAAGCCTCTCTCGGAGAAAGAGAAGTAAGGCTCGAGTCTGATCGATGCATTGATACTACGTCGTTACACGCCCACTCACCGCTGCCTCTTGGTGTCATTCAAGCGCCCTAATTTAATTTACCACTTTGTGTAATGGCAGGCGCATGTTTAATTAACGCCCTCCGTAACATTCCTCCGGGGATCGGTAATGGGATTGTGTTGCGTGTCAATTTTATTGGAGCGCACAGCATCCAGCCAGCAAAGGGGGCCCCTCCTTCTGTCACGATCGCCCATCATTCCCTCCTTTGCCCTGCTTTGTCCAACCTCCTTGAACGTCTGCCTCACAATTAAATGTGTCCGTCGCATCACGACCTGAGGGGGACCTTGGGCCACGCGCGCGCCATTTGCCTCGACGGTAACGTCCGTCGCCACCCAACGATCGAGATTCGTTCGACCGGCCGTCAGCCAAGGGAGGCCTACAGTCCAACAAAAAAAATGCGAGGCGCCAAAATTCCCCAGTGTGTAACTAGGGGAAGGGTTTTGTTAGTCGGGCGACCAACAAAACGAAACGAGAAAATAAACAAAGAGTTGCCGTGGCCGCTGTGGCCTCAAGTCGCAGAGCCAAATCGTCTTTGGCTGTCGGCCGAATGCCGCGGAAAAAGTTAAGATAATTTGTCAAAGTCGAAGTGAAAACCAGGCGAGCCTTTTCGTGCCTAATCTGGAGTCGTCCCCCCAACCCGTGCGGGATCACGTTATTACGCTCAATTCAAATATAAAAACAAGCAGCCCGCACGCTCGCCAGGGGTTGTGTCCTTGGCGCTCACGCCGATACGTGGCATAATGTATTAAATAAATAAACCTGCCAGAGACACTGAAGAAGATAAACGCTCGCTAGTTTGCGAGTTCGCTAGTTCACGCACATATACATCCTGACTGAGGCCCGCATTCCGAGTGGCTTATCGTGAGATTGTAAAAGAACGCAACTCTGTTAAATAAATCTATATGCAGTGAGATAATGACACTAGTGAAGATGAGGGTGACGAAGGTGGCGGTGGTGGTGGATGAATGACGGCGATGATAATTGTGCCAATGAACGCCCTCGCCCGGCCCCTATCTTTTTCGCTGTTCGGAAACTTGTGCGGGCGGCCCTTTGGTTGATCCACTGCCGGATGAGGGCCTGCTCGTGTCGCATGGGTGAGGATCTTATTGCTCTCCAGCAGTGAGGTGGCCAGGTGCTTCGGGGGCTAACACCAGGTCGGAGCAATGAACAGGAATTGCTGAGATCCAGCGTTCAAATCCAGATTTCAGCCACTGATGATTGAAACCAGGTTCTCAGGTGTAGTGAGTTGGTGGTCTGAGCTCTATCACCGATCACTGCATTATTTGTAGTGATAGTGATGGAGGTGGTGGCAGAGATAGCGCAGTGACGGTGGTGATGATGATGATGATGGTGGTGATGGTGATGATGGTATTGGTTGCGCTGGTGATAGTGGCAGTGGTGGTGGCAGTTGTGACGGTGGGGTTGGCGGTGGTGGTGATAGTAGTGATGGTGGCAGTGATAGTGGTTGTGGAGAGCGGTAGTGTTCCTTTTAGCACGCTGAGCTACGAACCCGGCTACCGGAGTTCGATTGCCGTTCACAGCCAACACCAGTGACGAATATCTGAACCGGGCCTGGGCCTCCCCTAGGTCGACTCAGCCTAAAATGAGTACCTGGTGCAGCGTGTAAACGCCGTCACCCCCTCATTTACCATGGCGGCTTCCATAGGTGCTCGCTAACAGCACTTTCCCCAAAGTCTGTGAAGGCTATATGGGGGATCTTTGTCTTTGGTGGCAGTGGTGAAGGCTGTGGTGGTTGCAGTTTTTCTCTGTCCCTGGTGCTGTGCCAGGAGCTTCGTGCAGAAGCGCGGCCTCTTCCTTTTGCGGAGCTGGTGGAGAACGCGGCGGCAGCGGGAGGCGTCGGTAAACAGGAAACGGGCGACCGCTCTCTCTGGCAAGACATGCATCGTCGTCCCGGCAGCCACAGGTCAGGGCAGACCACCCACCCACACCGCCTTGCACCACCCACCCACGTCTCTCACACCGCCTTGCACCACCCACCCACGTCTCTCACACCGCCTTGCTCCACCCACCCACGTCTCTCACACCGCCTTGCTCCACCCACCCACGTCTCTCACAGTGACCACACTCACCCACGTCTCTCACACTGACCACACCTACCCACGTCTCTCACACCGACCACACCCACCCACGTCTCTCACACTGACCACACCCACCCACGTCTCTCACACCGACCACACCCACCCACGTCTCTCACACTGACCACACCCATCCACGTCTCTCACACCGCCTTGCTCCACCCACCCACGTCTCTCACACTGACCACACCCACCCTCGTCTCTCACACCGCCTTGCTCCACCCACCCACGTCTCTCACACCGACTGCACCCACCCACGTCTCTCACACTGACCACACCCACCCACGTTTCTCACACCGACCACACCCACCCACGTCTCTCACACTGACCACACCCACCCACGTCTCTCACACCGACCACACCCACCCACGTCTCTCACACCGCCTTGCTCCACCCACCCACGTCTCTCACACTGACCACACCCACCCACGTCTCTCACACCGCCTTGCTCCACCCACCCACGTCTCTCACACCGACTGCACCCACCCACGTCTCTCACACTGACCACACCCACCCACGTCTCTCACACCGACCACACCCACCCACGTCTCTCACACTGACCACACCCACCCATATCTCTCACACTGACCACACCCACCCACGTCTCTCACACTGACCACACCCACCCACGTCTCTCACACCGACTGCACCCACCCACGTCTCTCACACTGACCACACCCACCCACGTCTCTCACACCGACCACACCCACCCACGTCTCTCACACCGCCTTGCTCCACCCACCCACGTCTCTCACACCGACTGCACCCACCCACGTCTCTCACACTGACCACACCCACCCACGTCTCTCACACCTACCACACCCACCCACGTCTCTCACACTGACCACACCCACCCATATCTCTCACACTGACCACACCCACCCACGTCTCTCACACTGACCACACCCACCCACATCTCTCACACTGACCACACCCACCCACGTCTCTCACACTGACCACACCCACCCACGTCTCTCACACCGACCACACCCACCCACGTCTCTCACACCGCCTTGCTCCACCCACCCACGTCTCTCACACCGACTGCACCCACCCACGTCTCTCACACTGACCACACCCACCCACGTCTCTCACACTAACCACACCCACCCACGTCTCTCACACCGCCTTGCTCCACCCACCCACGTCTCTCACACCGACTGCACCCACCCACGTCTCTCACACTGACCACACCCACCCACGTCTCTCACACTGACCACACCCACCCACGTCTCTCACACTAACCACACCCACCCACGTCTCTAATACCGCCTTGCTCCACCCACCCACGTCTCTCACACCGACTGCACCCACCCACGTCTCTCACACTGACCACACCCACCCACGTCTTTCACACTGACCACACCCACCCACGTCTCTCACACTGACCACACCCACCCACGTCTCTCACACTGACCACACTCACCCACGTCTCTCTCGGTGTGAGAGACGTGGGTCCAGTTTTGTTCCAACCTATAGCCTAAGTTCAACTTTGAGATTAACCGTTCCTGTGTAATTTGTACAAATCGTAAGTTAATCGATTCCCATGCGCAGGGATTCGAGTGCCTATCGGTGAGTCGCTGCAGGCCCCCAAGTCACTGCGTCTCCCCCTCATGCAGCCCCTCAGTGGAAACATCTCTGTCGTGAATGACGCTCAGCCATTGCTGCGATTCCACATTCCTTTGGTGGGGTCTAGCTTCTCCATAGAGAACTGCTTTCTGTGTTGAGCACGGTTGGCTACGTACGGCGGGCAAGAATTTATAAATACATTAATAGGATGACCACTGTTGGCCTCCTCACAAATATAATGATAATATACAAATAATTTACTTTTTAAAGTCGCATTTCAACCGTAGAGTCTTCTCCCCGCGAGGATTTAAACACGTGACCTCCCGAGTGCATACGTGGCGCACACTCCAGCCACAGAGCCACCCGGCTGGGATCAAACTTATCTGTTATTCAATTTCGGGTCTCACGGCGTTCCAGCGGCTCTTGATAATGCAACACGGCGTGTTTCAAGTTGCGCTTGCATTACAGACGCCGCCAGTGCCTCCTGACAATCAATTGCGAGGAGCCACACGGGCGAATTAACATAAAAACACAACACACGGTTGCCCTGCCTTTGCACTTCCCAAGCCCTTTCTCCGGAAGCACGACGCCCTTTAATAATTTAGCCCTTATGAGCCATGTTAGGGTCATCCTGGTTCAAGAATATTGCATGAAACCCATTAAAATGTAAATTCGCTTAAATTACATTTGCCCGAAGTGCTTTACTGAAGTCTGATCGTGTCGCACAGGGACGACGGAATTGTTTGCTGTAAAAAAAAAAGTATTGGGGGGTTTAATCGGTTACAGCTGTTGTATTTTAGATAAACTGGAACAAACACGTCCATTTAAATTCCCAACGCTGCAGCGGGAGGTAGCGTATTAACGCCTCACACGGACGTGTGCGCGCACCCACACACTCGCTTGCACGCACGCACGCACGCGGTGCGCGATGGTCTGGGGGACCGGAATCGCAAGCCTCAACGACGACACGATGGTGGTTGCGATAACGCACCGCATGACCGCCCGCCCTATGATCGCGCCGAGCGACGTCACCGGATGGTCGTTACCGAAACTCTGGTGAGCAATGGCAGTGGCGTATCGGTCAGGGGAGCGCGATCGGCTTCACGAGCGCGGGGGTAGAGGTTTGTGGGTCGCGTGTCAAGGACAGCCGACGGGTCTCATTGCCTACCCCCACCACGGCCTGAGCTCGGGTAACCGCTCTGAAAAAAGAGCTTGATCGCTCATCAGATTCCTCCAGTATAAATAAAGATTCTGATTCCGGAACGCACGTCACTTTTCCTGAGACCAAATTACCCCGAGTACTCGGTGTTGTAGGCTTAGGTTACGAATTGACAAGGAGATGGCAGTACAGCAGTGGAGAGATTTGAATGTTATCCCCTCGTTTGTGTTGGGTTTCTCTGGCTTCTACAGTCTCATCCCAAACTCTCATCAATCTTCTCGGCTAAAACTGCGAATGCGGTAGGACCCTCTTGAAAAAAAATGTTTGGACGTTCAGCAAGATTCTCCTGGGTAAATGAAGGGAATTATTTTCATTACCATTATATATATCGTGGTTTGCACTGGGCCTTAACTCGCCATGTTTGTAGATGCTTTACTGATCCCTGACGTGAAGTTCACTGCGGGAAGCAATTGGAAATTGGAAATTTACGTGTGAACAGTTTTGAATCCACATGCTATTCTTTTCTCTTCTCGTAATATTGAGTCGCTAACAAACAATTGTCCAATGTTAAAGAGATCCGTAGGCTGATTTAAAATGTTAAAATTATATATGGGTTAATGGCTGCTCATGTAAAACTGTTCATGTCTTATTTAAACAAAACAAATCTGTACAGTTGCTCCCAGTAATCCAACTAACAAGTCACTCACTCTCTCTGCCCTTTCTCTTTCTGCTCTGAAGAAGGGCGTTTGCCTGCAATGTCAGCCTACTATATGTTGTTTTCTGTCATAAGTTATAGACAAAGTGATGAGTTAGTTTGTTCCTGTACACCACCACCGCAGCCGAAGAAATAAACAAACGATTATTTCTTCGTCTTTTAAAGTTTCGTATCTATTTTCTCCTTCAGGTAAACATTCTCAAAGTTGCATTTGTTGTATTGCAATCGATATTAACCACCATCGCTTCTCCACCACTTGGATTTTTTGACATGGGACAGAATCAGGATCTTTATTTATCCTGGAGAAATCCGATGAGCTGTGAAGCACTTTTTCACAGATATCCAGTAGTGGCGGGTCAGAAAGTTGCAACAACAAACGGTACAAAAAAACGATAGGAGTGCAAAATATAGGAAAGGCAAGCAAATCACTAAAACGAAATACGCTAAATAGATAAAGTATATCTACGTGACTTTACCGAATAGAACCAAAGAGTATGGATCCTTGCAGTCACGAAAGCTTCAAATCTATAAAAGTATAGTAGACGTTTAAATTGCATAAGTACACCAATTCCCAAGCTTGGTCAGGGCAACAAAGCAACAGCAGAACAACTTTTGCCGTACGCGCGCGCGACGGGGGAGACCGCGCGCGATGCGAGCGCGCCGTCCCATTAATGGTGGGAAATGACGAATGGCGTGAGCCGACAAGCGCACACTCCGCCAGCGGCACCCCCCGCGTCGCGACGATAGCGGCGGCTTGAGCCGTCACCTCTCGCGCCGCTTTGACAAACGACTGTTTTGACTCGGCCAATATTGACCGTGTCGCGGCCGCCACCGTGCACGTCATCCGTGGAGCGCTCCCCGCGGGGAACAAGGGGATACTTCTCACCTTTGTTCGATTGTACGACGCCGTGATAGATGCCAACTAAATACGTGGCCTCGCAAAGGAAGGACCTTTGAGACCCGTCCGGCTTTTCTGTGGGCTTCTGCCCTTAACTTTTGTTCGAGTTAATCTCGGATGTAAAGCCACGTCGTCCAACTTGCGGGGAGCGCTTAACCTACCGTTTGCAGGTCACGGAGGCCGCAGCTAGGCCCCCTTTAAAGGATTTAGTGTCAGCCTGCTAATGTGTCCCCGGCTTGGATGCGTCATAAATACTGCTACTGCCCAGGTCAAAAGGAGAGAAGTTTACACCGCCAGATCCTGTCGTCTGTCATCCATCACTTTCCCGCACCGCGACTGTTGTGGCCGGGGCCTGTCTTGGCTTAAAAATTAACCTCCTTCCCTCGCAGCCTTCAGAAGGATAACTTTGTTATGTTGATAAAAAAAAACACCCGCCTTGAAAAGTGTTTTTTAGTGAGACGTGTGGCTGTTCCAATTTAGTGGCATTTTCACACGGATATTGCTTTTCTCGGCATATCGATGCAGACGTAATGGGAATGTAATTTATTCGTCCGGAGAAACCTCGCCAATTCTCGAGCGCCAGCGAGGGTGTCATGTCATTGGGATGTTCGCTCAGTCGCGTTTTAAGGAGTCGGAGTACCCAGGGAAAAACCCGCAAGGTCAACACAAACAGATTCAAGATCCCACTTGCTGTCCTTACTACTCTTCTGGCCATCTCGCAAGCCTGACGAGGTTTGGGAGTCTCCCAAAACACAGAGTGTCCATGAAGTCCCTATCTATTTTATTGAACTAATGGTACCTTTGTGTATTTCTTTGCAGAACCCTATGAATATGAATGTACAAGAACGTGTGATGGTAGTGAGACTTTCAATAATATGGAGTTCCTTGTTATTACGCAAACATCATTCGAGAGCACCTTAACGAACGTTTTACAAATCGCTGGATTGGACAAATCGGCAACAGGCCGTGGATGGCTCCATCTACGGATTTAACGCCTTGGGATTTCTTTGCATGGGGCCTCATCAAGTCAGAGGTGTATCAAACGAGAGTTAACAGATCTGCAAGATTTACGAGATCGTATTGGGGCGGCAGTTGCAAAAATAACTCCACAGATGCTGCAAAATGTGTTCCGTGATGCAGCTGACGGATTTGGGCTGTGCAGAGATTTTGATGGTGCTCATGTAAAATCCAATGCTTAAGTGCTATTAATACATATACCTCTGATTATATTATTGCATAATTTGTCCCTAAATTACTTTGATGCAATTAAATAGGTAAGGACTTCATGGACACCCTGTATACAAACAAAATAACCCCCCCCCCTCATATAGCCTTAACAGACTGTTGGGGCAAGTGCTGTTAGCGAGCCCCTGTATTAGGGTGGTTGATGTAAACGGTGAGCAGCAATGCCCCGTGATCGGCAACAGACAGGGCAGAGGTTGTATTAAACTGCTGGGGTAGCATTGAGGCTATGAACATTGATGGCTCTTAGCTGCCCACAGAGTGTAGAGTGACAGGGATTAACGTCTCTCTTAACACCTCCCGGGGCAACGTTCACTTGAGGAGTTCACGCACCACAAACGAGCACATCCTTTACCATCGCTGTCTGCCAGGGGTCAGGAAACTCTACAAGCTGAGAAGGCCGATCTAGCAAGTGAGCACCTCCCCTCATTCCTCCTAACGGATCCCTGTTCAAGCCACCGGCTTGAAATTAGTCCAATGCCCCTGCAACTTTGCGTTAATGTTATTTATTGTGCGTGCATTGTGCGGGCAGTTACTTCATTTTTATTTTTCTTGCAGATATAAATTTCATTCCTTTGTATGTTTTGGCCACATGCTCGTTACATAAAAATCGAGGACAGATTTATTATCATTGGAATTTTCATTCCTGGATACATTTGCCTTCCCAGTTGTGTATCTCTCCCACTCTGCGTTGTGTTTTGTTCATCCCAAAGAAAATGTGTACACATGCAAGAATACAATGGCAAATATCCCCCATATAGTCTCAGATACTGTTAGGGCAAGTGTTGCTTGCGAGCACCCGAAGGCCTACACGTCACACAAAAAAGTGAGTGGCCGGCACCACGCCCAGCTGTACTCGTATCCCTAGTGTTGATGTTTATATATCACACCAGGTACTCATTTATGGCTGAGTCAATCTAGGGGTGGTCCAGGACCCGTTCGGATAATCGTCACTGGTGTAGGGCCCTGAGCGGGAATCGGACTCGGGTCGCCGGTGTCCGTGGCGCAGCGAGCCAACCACTGTGCCACCGCTCCTTCGCATGCACGCACGGGAAATGTCAAAGTGCGCGCCGATTCTGCTTGGGCCCACCCAACAAAGAAAAAAATACGGCAGCTAAAAAAACACGACTTGAAGAATGCGGCCCAGGACGCGGAGAGCCGAGTGAAAAACGGCGTACGCATTTGCACCGGGCTTAAAATATACCTTGCCGAGAGAGAAGCGTGACAGTACAAAGAGACTTTGTTGAAGGGGGAACACATTTGCCAGGCTTGGCTTGTCACCAGTGGGGGTCACGAAAGAATGCGTGTCACAGTGTCGCCGGGTGGCTCACGAGGCTCATAGAGAGGGGAAATACTGAGCTGATCATCACTGAGATTTTGGGTTAAATTCCAGGTTTCAACTGCCCATGCATAAAATCAGATTTTAAGCACAATCACCAATGACTACACACAAACACACGCGCACAAAATAACCTTCATGCGCACTAAGTTTTCACTCGAGTTTCAATATTCCAGCTTTGAGAACTAAATAGTTTTAAGTTTTATAGCTATGCAACAATGGACACCTTCAGCAGGTCATGTGAAAATCCGCTACCCACCCCTATTATGGATAAGAAGTAATTGAAGAGACTTCAAATGTCAAGGTCAAGGGGTCATCATTGGCCTTTGTATCTTGCCCTCCTCGGAATTAGTTCTGCGATGTCATCTTCCAGAGGCCGTTCTCTAACATGAGGTGATGAATGGCGATGGTACGTTGCTTAATGGGCGACGATGTTTTCTCTGCTTTTCGGAAGAGTGCCGACGTGTGAGAATAGCGCACGCGCCTCATAGTAATTGGGAGAATAAAATGGACGAGAAGAGGAGGAAGCAGAGGAAAGAAAATATACGTATAAAAATGTGCGGTATCGAGGGTGACATTAAACAAGACGGGGCCAGCATGGTGCCACGTCGACATGTCGTGCCTTTTGTTGTTGTCGTGACAATAAGGGGAGCCGATTTTTATCTGGGGCAGGTGACATGGCCTCCACTCCCCTCGTCGTTCCGCTGTCCTCGGGGGAGAGCGTTTCATCATCGCGGCGTGCAGGCTCCCTGTGCGCCTTGTCATCGCGTCGAAAACTGTCAAGCCGAAATATATTTATTTTTTCAAAAGTAAATCTAAAAAAAACTTACGGGAAACGTTCCCGCGTTCTCACACGCGCGCGCGCGCGGCAACTTGACATCAAGATGGCTCGGTTGCCGATGTCAGGGCTTGCGATAAAACACCGCGAATCCTCTCTCTCTCTCTCTCTCCCGGGTGATCAAAGGCGGCCCGGTCGGCGCCGCATGTCGTACGTGACGTTCCCCCACGCCGAGCATGCGGGGCTCTCGCCACCTGCGTCCGCCCCTAGGCGATCTCGAGCCACGAGGAGGTTGCCTGATTTTATTTACATTCCCAAGGTGCGAGCAGTTAGTGTGGTGCGTTATAGCGGTTTAGAAGTTTTTTTTATACTTTTTCATCCCACGCAAATCTCTGGAATTGCGCTGAATGCCGGCACAAAGGGACGCGTGTGTTGTGGCTTGCTCAGAACTAACAAGTTCAATGCTGTCAAGCCACAGTTTGACATGTGGTCATAAGTGTGTTTGTACTACGGTTATGACCGTATGGTATATTGCAGTGCTGTGTGTGTTCATAACATCGAAGAGAGCGTTCGGCATTGAACTCAACTCGTCTAAAGAAAATGTGGAATTATTTCTTCGCTGTTCAACTCTGCAAAAATAAACCTTTGTTATTTTAGAACATTTTATGAAGCAATATACATACTTTATGTACTTTGTAGTGCCGTAATATAACTCTGAAAAGAATTGGAGCAAACACAAATTCCGCCCCCCACTCCAAAAAAAACCCCTAACCACGAACACAGCACCAAGTGGAAAAATTCGAGCCATGCCAGACAATCTTAGCAGGGCAAAGAAATGGACGTTGCTTTGTTTGTGAGCGCATATTGCTGTGAATTAAGTTCTTGGAAATTATGCGCGCACGTGCCAATTTTTCCCGAGCTTATTTTTGTCGGTCTTATTCACCGAACTGTGCCAGAGCGTTGCCAAAAACATATTTCACCTCTTCTTGGCGTCCGTTCTTGGCTCTGCCATGCACAGAGTTATGGTAATGTTCCCGTGTGGCACGTGATTAGATAAAGTCAAACGGAGGCAGATCGTATCTCTTGATGTAGTCCAACATCCTCGTTGGAAGTGCGCGCAAGCACGTGTGCACCAGTGCATTTGCATGGGCCTGCATACGCTCGTCCGCAGCCTTTCGTCTTGGCAGCTCGCGTGCGTGCACGTGTGCATGCGTGTATGGGGAGCGGTGGTCTAGTGGATAGCGCACTGCACTACGAACCTGGCCAGCCGAGTTCAATTCACACTCACGACCAGTAACAGTGGCAATAATTTGAACCCGCCATGGGCCTCCCCTAGATGTTATCTCCCTTGCCTCGTATGCAGGAGGTCATGGGTTTGATGCCTGACGCCTGTATATAAAGAGTTTGCGTGTTCTCCCCGTGGTCGCGTGGATTTTTCTCCGGGTCCTCCGGTTTGGTCTCTCGACATTTAGAAACATGCTTTTCGAGTATTTGGCTGCTGTAAATTTTCACATGATAAGCGACTTTGTTGAGCTATCATTTGTAGCCAGATCGCTTTTAAAAAAAGAGCTACATAGCTCAGTGGGCTTTACCTGATAAAATGTAATGTTTTTATATTCTTTATTTATTTATTGGTTGTTTATATGAGTATCTGGTGTGGTGTGTAAACATCAGCATGAGGGAGACAAAAGCGGCCGGGCGTGATATTGACCAACCACCACCCCTCCCTCCCCGTGTGCCGTGCCGGCCTTAACAGTCTGTGAAGGCTAAAACGGGGGATCGTTGGCTTTGTGTTCTGCAGAACGGGCGTCCGTCGCCCCACAGAAGCGCCAGCAGGGAGCGGCGGACAGCGGAGTGGAAACGCCGGCGCCTGACGTGGTGCGAGCGATCAACGCGATGTTCTCGACCCTGACGCCTCGATCAGGTGAGCGGAGCGACACCAGCGCCAAGCGGTTTGTGGGAGCCAGGCGCACGGCTCCACCTTGTCACGCTCGCGGCAGGGGGCAGTTTTCCCTCGTTCTTTCACGAGCCTGCTCTCCGCGATTTTGGCTGCCCGCGAATCTCATCTGGAACTCTACCTCGACTGCATCGAGAGAAAGAGAGAGAGAGAAATAAAGTGATGAGATAAAGTGATGAGAGAGAATGTGATTCGAGAAAGTGATAAGATCATCGTTATTGCATTCTTCTACTGCACAGAATTATAATTATTTAATATTCTTTGTGTCTTTCGGTAAAGCCACGTCGAAGAAAAAAAAAATCCTGCAGTCATGAAAGCTTTAAGTCAAGATTTATTATTTAATACTTTCATATTTATTTTTATTTACTTTATTATAACAATCGTTTTGTGTTATGAACATTTCCATGTATTTAAGAACCTTTTATATGTTTTGTTAAGATAATTCGTTGATAATATTCTCGTATGCCAATATTATTCGCAAAATTTCCTACTCGCGACCATCTCCGGAACGTATCACCTCGCGAATAACGACGGAATACTGTATCGCAGCCACTCGCGATCCGAGTGTTTCTTCCGAGCTAAGCCGCATGTTGTATTTGTATATGTTGAACTTCTTTCGCACCGTACGTAGCCAACCGTGCTAATCGGAGGTGTTGAACATATCTTCTCTCAAGCTTTAGCCATGCTCTACTGAAGGCATTGTTCAACACTTGGGCAGTTGAAGAGGCTCGCTGTTGTGCCCTGCGAGAGTTTCCAAAGGGACACTTTGTGTCATGGCGTAAGACCGACGATGCGGTTGAAATTAAAATGGGAACAAAAAAATTACAAAGAGGAATGTAAAAAGGAACCTGTGAGTAAGGAACCTGTGAGTAAGGAACCTGTGTGTAAGGAACCTGTGTGTAAGGAACGTGTGAGTAAGGAACCTGTGAGTAAGGAACCTGTGTGTAAGGAACCTGTGTGTAAGGAACCTGTGTGTAAGGAACCTGTGTGTATGGAACCTGTGTGTAAAGAACCTGTGTGTAAGGAGACTGTGTGTAAGGAACCTGTGTGTAAGGAACGTGTGAGTAAGGAACCTGTGTGTAAGGAACCTGTGTGTAAGGAACCTGTGTGTAAGGAACCTGTGAGTAAGGAACCTGTGTGTAAAGAACCTGTGTGTAAGGAACCTGTGTGTAAGGAACCTGTGTGTAAGGAACCTGTGTGTAAGGAACCTGTGTGTAAAGAACCTGTGTGTAAGGAACCTGTGTGTAAGGAACCTGTGTGTAAGGAACCTGTGTGTAAGGAACCTGTGTGTAAGGAACCTGTGTGTAAGGAACCTGTGTGTAAGGAACGTGTGAGTAAGGAACCTGTGTGTAAGGAACCTGTGTGTAAGGAACCTGTGTGCAAGGAACGTGTGTGTAAGGAACCTGTGTGTAAGGAACCTGTGTGTAAGGAACGTGTGTGTAAGGAACCTGTGAGTAAGGAACCTGTGTGTAAGGAACCTGTGTGTAAGGAACCTGTGTGCAAGGAACGTGTGTGTAAGGAACCTGTGTGTAAGGAACCTGTGTGTAAGGAACCTGTGTGTAAGGAACCTGTGAGTAAGGAACGTGTGAGTAAGGAACCTGTGTGTAAGGAACCTGTGTGTAAGGAGCCTGTGTGTAAGGAACCTGTGAGTAAGGAACCTGTGTGTAAGGAACCTGTGTGTAAGGAACCTGTGTGTAAGGAACCTGTGTGTAAGGAACCTGTGTGTAACAATGTGAGACACCACTGACTGCGGTGGTGACGGTGACTTTGCCCACGTCCCAAATCTGGAAATTGCCCAGAAATAAAAATGACAACAACAAGAAGAGAGAAAACCGCAGTACAGCAGCTGCCTCCACTCTACTCAGATTGTTAAGGTCTCTGGTGGGTCAGCGAACTCTCGCTCGGTCAAATAAAGGGCATCGATCGCCTGGGTCAACGGCAAGCGGAGTGGCGAGGCAAGGAGAATATTTTATTTTTTACCGCCAGGTAAGGCCCACTGAGCTCTTTGTCAGAGGCGACCTGGTGATCACAATGAAGTGGCTTATCACGTGGACATTGTATCGATGTCAAATGACTCTAAACACATTATGTTGATTCTAAATGTGGAGGGACAAACCGGGAAGACCTGGAGAAAAATCCACGCGGCCACCGAGAGAGAGAGACACCGCAAACTCCATATATACAGCAGGCGTCAGGGTCGGGATCGAAACCACGACTTACCGTATACCAGGCGAGGTAGTTAACATCGCGCTCCCTTTCTTCCCCGCTCCCTCCGCGGGGTCCGCGGAAGGTCGGCGCCGGCGTTCGGTCGCCCCCAAAGCCGCCGGGGAACGCGAGCGTTTGGTCACCGAGCACCACGGCGCTCGCCGCTCAGGGCTCTGAACTCGATCGCACGGCGTTGAATGTCTATTGCGACGGGAGGCCCTCTCCATCCTGCGCAGCTCAACGGGTGCTAACTCGACCACACTTCCCCCTCGCCGGTCAGTGCGGGTTGGCCAAGGCTGGGAGGCACGGACGTCGGAACGTTAAGTACGGGATAACAGTGGCTTTTGCTCCACCGCCCTCTGCTGACAATGTAACCCCCTTGCGACCTGTTTTATATTAAGTCCTCCCGTCAACTCCTGTAGGTTTAATTACCATTTTTTTTTGTTTAAAATGGCTGTTGCCATCAGCAGATCTGAGGCGGTCAACGTTTGTCTCTCGTCGTTATTCCTCCAATTCAATTTTTTTTGGGCAAAATCTCCTCTACTGTTGCTCCGGATGAGGTTGGCGAAAGAGCGACTGTTTCAAGTGACTCCCCTGGAAATGTGCGCATTGTTCCTTCCTGCAATGTTCAGCACAGCTCTCTCTCTCTCTCAGTGGGGCCTCACGGCCGAAGGGTCTTATTGAAAGGAAATCCCAACGTAGGGGCCGACAAAATCGAGGGAAAGGGAAGAAAGAGTCGCGCACGTGCCTGCATTTCGTAACGCTTCCTCAGCGTGTTTGTTCGCGGAAGTATTTAATTAGAGGTGCTAGTAGTAGTAATAATAATAACGCATCGGCCGCACGGTGAGCAGTATGACCGCACACTGCGATGAGACGGCAGGGCTCAGCGCCTTGGCCGTAGGAGCGGGATGCCGTGCCCGGTCATTTTAGCGCTTGTCTTTTTTTTGTTTTGTCCACGCTTCGGGTTAACCCTTTGGATCAATTTGGCTGGATTAGTCTCGAAGTGGCAGCACGACTTCATACCAACGTTTCGTATCGGATGATCTTTACAAGAGCTATGATGACCCCAATTTACAGATGGCGAGGCAGACGGACGGACGGACGGACAGAGAGTTAGAGAGAGGCAATGCATACATGCTTTAAAATCTTTGTTAGAAACCAAATAAATGTCGATCAGGGCGACATAATAGCACAGGGGCGGGGAAGGTGTGACCCAGCCGCAGCCAGGTTACGACATCGCGCGGGCTGTGCCTATTCATTAACGGCGCAAACCCACAATAGGCAAATAGGATTAAGTAAGTTCATTAGGCTTAGGCAGCCCTCTTTTATTGGATTCCTCTCGTGGCCAGATCATCCAGGGATTTCATCAAGTATCAAGGCCGTAATTGCCGTGGCTTTCGTGGTAAATTGTCTCTCGCGGGTGCGAGAGATTGCGTGGAAATTTGATAGAGGGATCAGCGAAGGGCTTGCGTGGGATGTTGATGTGTGTGACCGAGCCGGGGATATTAGAGCAAAGGCAAGAAGAAGAAGAAGAAGAAACACCACCGCAAACGGAGAATTACATTTTCTTTTATGAACGCTCTCCCACCGCCGCGACCGCAAACCATCGCGCAAAGCGGCGGCACTCGTGGGATGGCGCAGCACCGCGTGGGCAAACGTATTGCGAGCTGGACTCGGTGCCTGGCTTTAGGAGGCAGCGCTTGATACTAAGCCTGTGGTAAGGTTTCCTAACCCTCGGCCCACCCTGCGCCCGACGGTTTAGTGTCGCGATTCGATTCAAGGGCCCCTCTGTTTTTTGGTTTGCCACGTTGGTACCATCTCATTTGTATTATTTGTTTTGTTTTGGTTTTGTCTTTGGGGGGGGGCGGGGGGGGGTTAGTATTTTTTCTGTCTCATCTGTTCTGTTAGACCAATGGTAGCAGTAGCGAAGAATCCAAATCAATCCGCGCAACGCGCGATTTCGAGCACGTATCGTTCGGCATGAGAATTTATTTTCAATCGATGAATTTAATTATCGTTACTTGCCTAGTTGATGCGGGCTCCTAGCCTGGACACGGGCAGCCCAGCGTTCACCTCTTCTCCCCCAACAAACACACCCGCATCACCATCGCCGTGCCTCCTTTCAGCTCCACCACTGTGGCATCGCGCGTGCGTGCGTGTGTCTACAACAAGAGCCACGCGACAGCTGCTGTCCACCGCTTTAATTGTCAGCGACGTCACAAAGTGCTCGTGCCAGAGTAAGTGCACTTTGATTCTGTGCGGAGTACCGAAGGCTCGCTGGCTCGAGGTCACAGGGACGGATCCCAGCTGCCGTGGCTCAACGGACCGGAGTGACTGACAGGTGCACGACCTGCTCTCCCCGCCGTGCCAGCCCGTCGCCGCGTTTTATCCGCCCAATGCCCCGCTCATTGTTTTGAGCCCAGAGTGGCGTTCGTGAGCAGCTGCCCGTCCGGGCACATATGCGCACACACACGCTCGAGATATGCCGGTCGTGGTGGCAACGCGCATTGGCCGTCCGGCACTTTTCGCGACGAGGAGTTGGCAGAACGCGTGTATTTGTGATTCCAAAAATCTGCTCAGCTAAATTTTTATTTAAAGCTTTCGTGACTGCAGGGATTCATATTCTTGGTTCTTTCGGTAAAGTCACGTAGAAGGGAAACAATAAAATAATGAAAAAATATAAAAAATAAAATTCTCACGACGTTTCGACTGCAACACAAGCAATCATCATCAGGTGTGAAAACCACAGCAAGAAAATTGAAAAAAGTGGCGGTTATTTTTTAAAATTTTCTTGCTGTGGTTTTTGCACCTGATGATGATTGCTTGTGTTGCAGTCGAAACGTCGTGAGAATGTTCTCGTTTTATATTTGTATTATTTTATTGTTTCCCTTCTACGTGACTTTACCGAAAGAACCAAGAATACAATATCTGCTCGGCTGTTGAGTTGGCCAGATGGCAGTACAGCAAGAGGGTTTGTTGAACCTATCTGTGGGTTTCCTTTTCCCGTCCCATCGTGTGCTTCGGTTTCCTCTGGGTGCTGTGGTTTCTTCCCACATCTGAAACGTTCGTGAGCAAAAAGGAATTGGCCAAACCTCCCAACGTTGGAACTCTGCTGACAAAAGAGTCGAGAAACTCAGTGAATATGTCCTGTATGAATATATTATATTCATGTTTTCTTATTTATGTAAATATACACACACAACACGGGAGGCGTGGGGGGGGGCAGTGGCACAGTGGTTAGCACACTGCACTCTGAACGGGGTGACCTGGATTTAATATGTAATCCAGTCCTGGAGCCCCGATGACTGATACAGCATTGGAAGGCCTTCATCCAGCAGCGCATTAACAAGTCGCTGTGAATTGTGTTATCATTAATACCGTTAATATTATAATTCACCCACACAGGGAGACAGACAGATGGACAGACGTACACGCGTTATACTGTATGGAGCTAAATACTTTAAATAAATAACCAAAAAGGAATCCCGAATTCTGGCGGCCCGGGCCTCCCTGCCAGGACCATTATCCGCTGACAGCGAGTAATGAAAAGGTTGCCATGGTAGCGCTTTAGAATAAGGGACGTGGGAAGAGAAACGCAACCCTGTTTTTTGGCTCCAACCTCGCCTCACAGACGATGTCGCTCCCTCGCTCTCTTCCCCCGACCCCACCGCCCCCCCGCCACGCTACCGCCAAACTCGCTCCCCGTTTTTTTCGATTCCCCCCCCCCCCCCCTGTATTCCGCCCCTTCTTTCCAGGCCCCATGAAAGGCCTTGGCAAGGGACCGAGACGTATTTGCCGAGCGGCTTTGCCCCTAATGGAAATGTCAAATGGGAAGCAGATGAGGGGTGGGTGGGTGGGTGGGGGGGCTGTGGCTGGCCACACGGGGTGCGTGCGTGTGCAGCATTGATCGCGAGTTGCGCTAAACAGCATCGGTTCGCGCATTGTTTCGGCTGCGGTTGTTGGCCGAGAGAGAGAGAGACAAAAAAATAAAAAGTGGGTCGGGGATGCAGGGTGGTGGTGGTTAGGTGGGGAGTGGTGGTGTAGCGGTTAGCGCGCCGCGCTACGAACCCGACAACCCGGGTTCTAATTCCCGTTCACGGCCAACACCAGCGGTGATTATCTGAACCGGTCCTGGGCCTCCCCTACGTCCATTCAGCCTCAAACGAGTACCTGGTGCAGTGTGTAAACGTCGCCACTGCGGAGGAAAAGGTGGTCGAGCGTGGTGCTGGCCACCCACCCTCTTGTGTGCCGTGTCGCCCTTCATAGTTGCTCACGAACAGCACTGTTAAGGCTACACGGAGGGTCTTTGTTTTTAGTGGTGATTAAGCCCCCCCCCCCTCAACCACCCTCCAAAAAAAACCACCACCGCGACAAGAGACAAAAAAGAACAAAAATGGAGAAATGTGAAGGAGAGTCGTGACAGACCGCCCAGATGTCTGGCGGTCTAGCGCTTTGCAACTCCGCATCTTCAGCCGTCTGCCAGCCTCCTTGACCCCTCATCGTCATCGTCGTCGGGGGTTTCTGCGCAGCATCGCTCCAAGCTCCCTCATCGCCACGGCCCCTCCAGAATCGTCAGCATCTGACGGCGAGTCGGTGTCGTTGATTTGCCGCCGCAAAGTGGCATTGGCGCAGAGTTTACATTTTGGCACTTTGGCATAGCCCGTGACGTGAAGATTTGTGGTTGTGATTTCATTTATTCATTAAAAAAAACACGAAAAATGTACCTTCCTGTAAATAGAGCGGCCTCTCGTGGCTGGCGGGGTCACGTGAACCCATTATGTACAACATACACAAATGAAAAAACTTTGTTCCTTACACACGCGAGCGATGCGCGCACCGCGAGCTTAACGATGGATACGAATCCCTGCATCTTTAACACGGCTTACTCTCGAGCGTACTGTCGACAGCGTTTGGTGTGTGTTGTACGGTGGAGGTATGCTACGTGGTATTGATCTTGCCGCCTTTACCGTTTACAGATGCTGAGGGTCGAACACAAGCCTCCCGCGTGTTCACAATCCCGCCCAGACAAGAGTAAGGCAACTCATCTTACGCTACTCTCCATTGCACTATAACTCTATAATTTTGCTAAGTGTGATTTGGCTTGTTCTCTCCCTGCTGTTCCCCCATCGACTGGAATTCACTTCCCCCAGCCGTCCATGCTGTTGACTCCCTTCGTTGCCGACGATTAACTGCCTCTTTTTCTCCTGAAAGTAAATATGCCCACCGTCTGGAGATGTCGCATTCGTATGCCACGTAATATCCACGCGGACTTCCACGCCAATGAGCGGCCCCTCTCGTTAAGCAGTTGGCCCTTTCAGCGGCACGCCTGCCTCCGGTGTTTTGCTTCCAGACAGAGCCGGGCGTAGTGGTGCACGGCTGGGACCCAGCACTTTGGAGGACAGGCTTTCTAGATCACACCGATTCGTGAGACCCCCGAAACCCCATGTGTTTCCGAGGCGGCTAAGAGGTGGCGGAGCTGTATTAGAATCGGAATCTCAATATATATCCTGGAGAAATCCGATGAGGGGCGGGTCAGAAAGTTAAAACAACAAACACTACAAAACATGATAGGAGTGCTTATTATGCCTCAGCTTTCTCCCGGTAGCACACTTAACAATGGAACTTAACAATGTCACACACTTAACAATTGAATCGGCCCAAAAATCTCAATGCAAGACCCTCCTGATGAATACGGACAGCAGGGGGTGTAGTAGTATCCATAATCCAGGTTTTTGGATTAGATCGGGTAAATATAGCAATGTGCTGTTAAACCCGCCACCACCCGATACAGCTAATTAGTAAGGTTTGTCACATAAAGAGAACGTGCCAATTCGTCACTAGTACAGCACACCGGTGCGTTGGAGAGCGAAGCCACAACATTTACAATCTGTGTGTGACTTTCACCAGTAATTACAAGGAGCTTCATCAGCCATATTTGTGGAGAAGTCCTCCTGTTCTAAACCTTAAATAGAGGGGTAGATGTCATGACAACACTTGTGGACTCTGTTCTGTTTGTGTGACAAAATCTTTACTAATTGGCTGTGTCGGGTGGTGGCGGGCTTAATGACGCATTTATATATTTACATGATCTAACCCAAAAAACCCATATTATGGATGATATTGGTCACGAAACCCTACGTGTTAAACTGGCGTAGTATTACTCTTTGGTTATTTCACTGTCTGGTGTAGTATTATTTGCGTTTGTAATTTCCTGTACAAAACGGAGAGAATGACACGCGGCGTGTCGCTCGCGCTGCCGCAGGGCCCAGAACCTGCGGCGCTCAGAGTGCGGCGGTTCGGGACCGGTGGACGCGCTGGAGCTGACGGCCGTGGAACGGAAGGTGAAGGCCGGCCGCTACCGTAGCGTGGACGACTTCGACTCGGACATCTCGCTCGTCTTCAGGACCGCCGAGGTAGAGGCCTCGGCCGTTGCCGTTGCCCTTTGGTTTCCACACGTGACGCGAGCGCCGGCACAAGGTGGGGAGCGGGGAACCAAAGGGCTGAGGCCACCGGCTCGCTACGCTGGAGAACCCGGTTTAAAACCCGAGCGGCCGATACCTGAATTCCGACGGCAGGCTATCAGCGGTTGCCGGCAGATCGCTCTGACCTCTGAGCCACCCAGCCACCTCCGGCTTTCACCTCGCCTTGAACGTTGTCTGAAAGAGAGGGAGAGATCGATGGGTTGACTCGCACGGGATCGATTCCCACTTGATTAGTTAGCACCCGCGTTGATCCATATCCATGTCATTATCTCTCAGCGCCAGGTGCCGACCGTGGAGTAACAAATCGAAACGACACAGGCACCCCGCCCAGCACTCAGGCCACCCCAGGAACTGCCATCATGGACCCTGACACATGACCTTGCCTTTTTTTTTCTTTTCCAATTAGTCGTTTTTGTTTGTTTTCTCCCCAATTGTATCGTCATGAGACTAAGAAAATCATTTGGAACTCTCACCAAGCAGTGAATCACCCTGTGCTAGAGCACGGCCCACTGAAGGTGATATCACAAAACCACCTGGGATATCTCCCGTGTGATGTCTCCGCTTCAAGTGGCCATTTCTATCTACATGCTAGGAAATGCGCTCTCCCACATGCTCTGCTACAGATGAATGGATCGCCAAATAAAGGGGAACGCCGTATTTGACGTTCACGTGCTTAATGCGCAGTTGTTGGAACCCAAGCCACACCTGGGAACCCAGTCGTAATCACGGGCGGCTTTAGACGCCGATTCAAACCCAGGATGTGAGCTCACTGACTCAGGTTCGATGACCCCTGCGCCACCCGGTCACCTCTCCTGACCTTCAGCCTTCACTTTTTCTCCCCAAAGACAAAGATCCCCCGTATAGCCTGTAACAGACTGTTTGGGCAAGTGCTGTTGGCGAGCACCACATGAGAGGGTGGGTGGCGAACACAGCGTCTCGCGCCTTTACCTCCCCAGTGGCGATGTTGACACACCTTACCAGATACTTATTTGAGGCTGAGTCGACCTAGGGGAGGCCCAGGACCGGTTCAAATAATCGTGACTGATGTTGGCCATGAGCAGGAATTGAACCCGGGCCACCGGGTTCGTAGAGCAGCGTAGCGCTAACCGCTACGCTGCCGCTCCTCCACTTTTCTCCCCACACCCGCTGCTACCACCACAACCACCGCCACCGTCACCACAGAGGTGGCACGGGCGGCGGTCCCCGCTGGGCCGGGAGCTGTGCCGCCTGCGTAAGGCGTACCAGCGGGCGCGCGACTCGGTGGCGCCGCTTTGCCTGTCTGCCGGAGACGCTGAGGAGGAAGAGCCGCCCCCGCCGCCGCCCCCGCCGCCGCCCCCGCCGCCCCCGCCGCGAGCGGACGGCAGGAGGACGCGCGCCGATGCCCGCGCGCCCGACGCGACGTCGACGGCCGGGCCCGGGGCGGCCGAGTCGCCGGGTGGTGAGCGACAGGACGAGCGCGGGGCCGACGACAGGGACGACGACATCATCCGCTGCATCTGCGGCCTTCTGCGTGACGAGGGCCTCATGATCCAGTGCGACAAGTGCCAGGTGCGTCACACCCCCCCCCCCCCCCCCCCCCCCCGAGCCTCACCGCCGTACCCCCACGAACCAAACCTGCACAGGATCCGGCGCACGCGAGTGGGTCCCGGTCGTGAACACGGTTCGAACACGGTCACGATCGGCCGTGTCGGTCACCCCGCCTTGCCACTCGCCGCGCGTTGTGCGCTACTACCCGTGCTACTGTGAAGCGCTCGGGTCGTTACCGCTCACTGTTCGGCAGACATGTTCGATGTTTTGTTCGTCGTGGAGCGGCGCGGCCCCAAAAACGCGTGGGAAGAGCAGCACAACGGCGCAACCGCGACAAACCTATGCGGGATCCGTAAATGTCAGCGTGATGGGAAACAGAGGGTTGCATTTTAGGTAAATTTGCGCACGCCACTTTGTCTCTTCTTCCTTCATGTCCCGTAAGGCTAAACTCTGGAACTCGTCACCCTACTACTCTCTCGTCAATTCTAATTACAACGTGCAATCTTCTTGGTCTGCGCTCAGTCGCCTGCCACTTTGTGAGTTGTGCCACCGATAGTGATTCAATTAACAACTGACGCGGTCCTTGCATCTCAATAACGTGGAGAGCACCTTCGAAAGTACTGTACAACGCTAACTGGAATATCGCTGTTAAAGAAAAGCACATTGTATGTTGCACAAACCATCGCTGCTGTCCACCACATTCACCACCCAGAGGCCTCCACACAATGGCTCATTCACTTGCCGAGCACCAAATATATCAACTATTTAAACTAAACAAGAAACTATAAAACTATTTAAAGTATAAATATTTTTGTTATTTTACCAGGGAAGGCTGACTGAGCTATATAACTCTTTTTCAGAAGCGACCTGGCCACAAATGATAGTTCAACGAAGTCGCTTATCATGTGGAAATTTACAGCAGCCAAATACTCTAAACACATGTTTATTCTAAATGTGGAGGGAAAAACTGGAGGACCCGGAGAAATATCCACGCAACCATGAGGATAACATGCAAACTCCAAATATACAGGTGTCAGGGCCGGGAACCCAAAACCTCCTGTATACCAGGCAAGGTAGTTAACATCTCGCCACCGTGGCGCCCCTATTCTTAGACCAGCCAGCACACATGCACTTGTACTCACGTATTAAGATTTCTCTCCACCCTTACAAGGTCTTATTTGTAACACAACTTTTTTTCACGTTTCCCAATTATATTGCAATTGTACATTCGGTATCACAATAGGAAATGAGAAATATTTATTTGGAACTCTCACTTCAAGCAAGCAGTGGATCACCCTGTGTCAGAGAATGGCCTTGGAAAATGATCATCTTGGTTCTTTCGGTAGAGTCACGTAGAAGGGAAACAATAAAATAATAAAAATATAAAACAATAACATTCTCACGACGTTTTGACTGCAACACAAGCAATCATCATCAGGTGTGAAAACCACAGCAAAAATAAATTGAAAAAAGTGGCGGTTTTTTTTAACGTTTGCACCACGGAGAGCGATTTGGCAGTTATTCAGGTGGACGAGTCCATCTATATTCTGAAAAGAGGAGGGGGGGGGACGAAAATAATGAATGCGGTCTGAAAGCCACCGTAAGTGTGAACAATAAATTAAGACCCGAAATGGTTTATCAAATCCTTCCAATGATTGCTAAGCCAGAATCCATCTTCTCGGTTGAAATTGTCTCTGTATTTGTATACATAGATAGCCTCATGAACGAATCTCTCATGGTAGCCAGATGGCTTGCAAAGAACCTCTGCCTTGGAGAAGTCAATGTCATGTGAGCCTACTGAATTATAACAGTGATCTGCCATGGCCGAGGTGTTGGTCCTATCGTGTTTTAGGTCTGCTTTGTGTTCACGAATGCGGTCCGAGATATGTTGTTTGGTTTCTCCAATGTAACTACTACCACAGAGGCAACTTAGTTTGTAGATGCCAGGGTACTGTATGTCCGGAATCACATCTTTTACAGACGGAACCAGATCACGGATTTTATGTAATGTGTTGAATCGGACCTGGATCTTGTGTTTATTCAAGATTTTGGAGATCTTTTTTGTGATTCCCGCAATGTAGGGTAAAGTGATGGTTTTGAAAGGCCCCTCAAGAGGGTCCTTCTTCATGGTTGGAGTGATAGCTTTGCGGATTGTATAGTCGGAGTAACCATTAGCCTTAAGAGCTTGGTGTACGTGCTTGAGTTCACTGGCTATGTGTTCCTGGTCGGATATGCATAGGGCTCTATGGTGCAGAACTCAAGCACGTACACCAAGCTCTTAAGGCTAATGGTTACTCCGACTACACAATCCGCAAAGCTATCACTCCAACCATAAAGACGGACCCTCTTGAGGAGCCTTTCAAAACCATCACTTTACCCTACATTGCGGGGATCACAAAAAAGATCTCCAAAATCGTGAATAAACACAAGATCCAGGTCCGATTCAACACATTACCTAAAATCCATGATCTGATTCCGTCTGTAAAAGATGTGATTCCGGACATACACTACCCTGGTGTCTACAAACTAAGTTGCCTCTGTGGTAGTAGTTACATTGGAGAAACCAAACGACATGTCTCAGACCGCATTCGTGAACACAAAGCAGACCTAAAACACGGTAGGACCAACACCTCGGCCGTGGCAGATTACTGATATAATTCAGTAGGCTCACATGACATTGACTTCTCCAAGACAGAGGTTCTTTGCAAGCCAGCTGGCTACCATGAGAGATTGGTTCATGAGGCTATCCACATATACAAACACAGAGACAATTTCAACCGAGAAGATGGATTCTGGCTTAGCAATCATTGGAAGGATTTGATAAATCATTTCGGGTCTTAATTGATTGTTCACGCTTACGGTGGCTTTCAGACCGCATCCATTATTTTCGTCTCCCCCCTCCTCTTTTCCGAACATATATGGACTCGTTCACCTGAATAACTGCCAAATCGCTCTCCGTGGTGCTCACGTTAAAAAAAAACGCCACTTTTTTCATTTTTTTGCTGTGGTTTTCACACCTGATGATGATTGCGTTTGTGTTGCAGTCGAAACGTCGTGAGAATTTTATTGTTTTATATTTTTATTATTTTATTGTTTCCCTTCTACGTGACTTTACCGAAAGAACCAAGAATATGAATCCCTGCAGTCACGAAAGCTTTAAATCAAAATTGGAAAATGATGTCACAGAATGACCTCCAAGGTCATACATCAATAAGCCTCATTATCCACACTCGTGGCATTCCATTTTTTGTGCCCTGCAAAGATTGTTCATCGCATGGTAGTGAATTTGGTTTCTCAGAGCTGGAATAAGCGAAATTAAGTGATACACCAATTTTTTGGTTTTGCTATAATTGGTGGCAGGTATGAGACCACAGACGCTTCAGAGCCGCGTTTAACCACGGGTGGCTGATAGCCAGACTCGAACGCAGGAACTCGGTGGAGCCACGCGGCCTCCTATACATTTCCTATCTTTCATTTTATTATTTAAAGATTTCATTCAGTTACATTTCCGACGAATCTTACATTCCAACAGTCGACGTACTGCCCAATGCTACAGGTGGAGTCCGTCCTTGTTAACCGAGCCCATTGTTGGGGATTCTTTTCTAAAGGGTTGGCTCAACGGTTCTTTTAATAAACACCCGAGGGGTGAAGAAGAAGAATCTAGGAGCTGCGCCGCGCGTTGACCTCGGGGAAATGTCCCACGGTTACCGAGGTGTGCGCCCTGGTCACACTTGGCACAGCGGGGGTCTCGGACGTGAGTGGGGGGGGGGGGGTGGGAATTGAAAGAGTTATTTAAAGTGTTCCTCCTTTCCTTTCAGCATGTATCACTCTATTTTTTGTTCGTTATTGCTGTTCGGTAGAAAATGTAACCGCGCGTGTCGCCCGTGGCGTCAGGTGTGGCAGCACTGCGACTGCATGCAGATCACGGCCGACGTCGAGCGTTACCTGTGCGAGGAGTGCAACCCGCGCGCCGTCGAGAGGGTGAGTTCCCTGCCGTCGCCCTGCCCGCCACGTTGCCTCCGGCACGGGTGGCTACGTGTCGGCGCGAAAGAAATTCTGTGTTAACGTACGCACACGTACGTTAACACATACACTGCCGCTGCCTTGGGCTGGGCTCTCTATCGCCGTGTGCACGTGTTCAGCTCTAGGAATCGCGCGTTGTTGCGTATGCCTCCTTATTATTGTCCAGAGCGGTCGCACATTTTTTGCCAGGCCCCCAAGTCCTATTTTTTTTATTTAATGTTTCATTTTACTGCATTGTCGTTTTAGCATCCGCATCCAACTTTTCCGTTGCATTTCGGATATTGGGGGGGGGGGAGGGTCGCATTTCTGCCCAAGAGCGGAGCCAGCGCCTTCGGCCATCGGCGGCTGCGACTAGGACTAGGAAAGGATATATTGTTAATGGCTCTAACATAAAATATTAAAAACGAGGGAGCAATTCATTTTGTTTCCGAGCATTTCACGGCAACATGTGGTGACCCATAACCTATGGATAATGCATAACATGCTACGCAATGCAGATGACGGACCCACGGGGGCAGGAGTGTTGGGTAACACGGCAAACGTGGGGTTAACTGACTCCGTGACGAGGAGGGGGGGGGGGGCGTCAGTCGGGTGGATGGGGTGGGGGTGGTGTAGCAGGGACTTAGGGGAAATGTAACGGCCGTTGTGTGGAGGAGCTGTAGCCAAGGGGATAGTACACCAAGGCAGCTTAGTTTAACACACCATGGACATAAGTTTGAATCCTGGCTTCGGATTACGGCGTATTGTTATCTTATATTTTTTAACCCATCGCCTCGGCTGCAGCATCTCTCCACTCAATGGCACTATTTTTAATTTAAATAATCTGACGGCACATTACATTTTACTTGGCTAAACATTACCAATATAGTACATGTATTTTACTCTTGAATTTAAGTCAATTGGCTCCTGCCCCCTCTCCACCAGCATTTTTATGTGGAGCAAAAGCTCTCGGAGTTGCTGCCCCCTCCCAGTCTGCCATGTGGGGGTTGGGGGTCGGGGGGCAACCGCCTCCCTGCGCCTGCTGTGCCGCCTCGCCGCCTTTGCTGGCGCATGCGGGGAAGCCGTGGCCCTTTTGCATGGGTAGCTGGGACGGAGGGGTGGAGTAGCGAACGCGCCGGGCGATGTGGGAGGAAAGTGTTGGCGGAGCAGCTGCGTTGGTCCTCGCTGTTTGTATTTACGTACCATCTGCTGAACTTCTTCAGCACCGTGCGTAGCCAACTGTGCAAATCGGAGGTGCGGTTGTTACAGGAGGTGCTCATGATGCCGCAGCCAGAATTGGCGCAGCCCGGCTGCACGTACTACATCTGCCTGCTGCGGGACGGCCTGCTGCTGAAGCAGGGTGAGTGTGCTGCGTTTGCTCGTCCACCGTCGGTCATGATCTGTCCACTGCTGGATGAAGGCCTCCCCAAGCCGTCACCCGTCTTCCACGGTCACACGATGCTACAATTCATCTGGCTCATGCACTTGTACCGATTGCATCGCCTCGTCTCTGCACCCTCCTGGTAAAATTAAGGTTGGAAGCTAGCTGAGTGCGTTTAGGATTTGTTTGTGACTTGTCCCATTTTACAATCACGACTCCACATGCTTCCTATGTTTCTCCTCGACTCCTCCTGCACCTAGCCATGACCTCTGCGTTCCCCACGCTAATGTCTTGCCCCTTGAGATATTCCCTCTTCTCTCTCCATGCCCCACATGCCGCCCCCCCCCTCACCCGTGCTCTCCACGTCCTCCTCCCCATGCCCCCCCCACCCATTCCCCCCCACCCCGGCACCACCAGGTGACTGCGTGTACCTCATGCCGGAGCTGCCGCAGCGGAGGGGCGCACGGGGGCAGCCGCTCCGCCAGGCCTACCACCTCCGCACGGCCGCCACGGGGCCCACCCAGCTCGACATCTTCCGCATCGAGAAGCTGTGGAAGAACGACAAGTGAGTCGGGGTGACTCCTGGCGGGGGCGGTGGGGTGATGCAGGAGGAGGACTGTGTGAAGGATCGCAGGCGTGGGTGTGGCGCGGGTTGCCCAGAACGCGCGCACGAGAGAACGACGCTCAACAGGGCGGCGTCCCTTTCTCTCTCTCTCATTCCAACCCCTCCCCCACCTCCCACCTTCTGGCCCGGCTTCCTCGCGAACATTTCGCAGGGGCGAGCGTTTTGCCTTCGGACACCACTACCTGCGGCCGCAGCAGACGCACCACGCGCCCTCGCGCCGCTTCTACCGCAACGAGCTCTTCCGCGTGCCCATGTACGAGGTGGTGCCCCTGCGTGCCGTCGTGGAGCTCTGCTGGGTCATGGACCTCTACACGTACTGCAAGGGTGAGCAGCGCAGTGACGCACGCACATACGCACGCACGCGCGTACAAGACAGCGCGTCGGACGCTGCTTTTTACGTGGCACTGTTGATGCGATTCATTCAAACGCACTTTACAATGAAGACGCTTGACGGTAGCGAACAATAATGGCCACGTGAATTACTACCCGGCTGAAGGATGATCAAACAAATCCGTTTGATTATATTCAAGTTAAAATATTCGACTGTGGCAGCTGCATTCTCGATGTGACTTGGGACAGAGTTCCAAAGGTAGGTAGCAGAACAACTCAAGGCCCTTGCTCCTCCTCACCTCAAACGACTTCTCGGAACCGCCAAAAGTTCAACGTTCGCCCATCTCCGTGCCTGCGGTCCATTGCTAATGGAGGCATTCGGGCCGGTCGGTGGATCGTGTAAAGAGATCTGCGGAACCTCCCGAACCTTGCTGGGCCGCAAGGTGACCCAAGAGCTGACAGTACCGAGGATCTAGATGTCATCAGTACCTGGGGAAAATGCTCAAAATGGCATTTATTATTAGACGCCTCTGTTGTGAGCTCAAAAGTTGACTGGCACGGCAGCGCAGTGCAGTCACTTATCAAAAGGCCAGAGGCGGAAACCCGCGCAGAGAACTGGAGCGGTTGTTGTTTTGTTCGATTCACAGCGTACATCACAAAAAATGAGAGGTGAAAAAAAAACACTGATATATGCCCCGGGAAGTTTGCCAACCAAAGAAATTACTTTTCCTTTGTCCTCTGTGGCAAAAACAGCGTGAGCGTTCTCTCCCGCTCGCGCGCACACACGGAGCGCAAATACGATGGTAATTGTGAATCTCCAACTTCAGGACAACGTGAAAACACTTAGGCATGGCTGACGCTACCCACCGCCGACCCCCCCCCTCCCTCACCGCCTGCCGACTCGTTGTGCCCATGCTCACTGTCGCCAACTGAAACGCTTCCCTGCTGCAGCACTGCCGCATGATCAGTGTTGCAAAAATATAAGAATAATAATAATTAAATAATTCCACTATTTATCCAGCAGAACAAGACGAATTCGCATGCCTCTTTTGTGTTCCAGGAGGATCCTGCATCGGGCTATTATGATTAAAAACGTTTCCAGACAATTATTGATGAGTCGTGTTTATTATTCAAGTGGGGGGAAACCGAAGCACCCGGAGAAAGCCCGTGCACGCGAGGCGGCACTGTATCCATGTGCAGATGGAAACAGATGGCGATTAGTCCACTTGCACTACTGCCTTCTCCTGGCGAGACAGGGTATATAGCCCACGAGAAGGGAGTTTCACACTATCCGTACGGTAATCCACCAACCCTCGCTGCTGCCTCCACAGTGCTGGCTTAGAGGCACCCATGTGAAGCAGCAGTGTAGCCGCCGCCACCACGACCTAACTGCAGGGAACGCGCGGCTGTAACCTCGCTGTTCCGTGCCGACTGCACACGCTTGCCCGGGTCACGTATCCATCCGTCTACTAATATGTTTAGTGCGGGCGTGGGATGGATGACGCGCGTGTGCATGTGCGTGCGGGCGTGTTCGTGCATACGTTTGCGCGCATGCCTTAAAAGGGCGTGCGTGCGTGCGTGTTTTAGAGCATGCGTACGTGTATTCGAGCGTGCGTGTGAGTGCGAGCGTGTGAGAGTTTGCGCTCAAGCGTGAGTGCGTGCCTGCATACAGGAGAATGCGTGCGTGCATGCATGCATTGTGTGTCTGTCCATGCGCGCGTGCATTAACTCATGCGTGCCCGTGTCCCTGTGTGCGTGCGTGTGCATGCGCGTGCTTGTATGCATCCCGCGGAAATCGCATGTACAGGGAGGCCGAAAGGCGCCGAGGAGCAGGACGTGTACATCTGCGACTACCGCCTGGACAAGTCGGCGCATCTCTTCTACAAGATCCACCGCAACCGCTATGCCACATGCACCAAGCCCTACGCCTTTGATCACTTCGCCAAGAGGCTGACGCCCAAGCGCGACTTCTCGGTACGGCCGGAGCGCAGCGCGAGCGGATTTAACGCGACGGCGGAGGCCAAACCGCCGGACGGCTCGACTCAAAAAAAAAAGAAAGGGGGTGGAGGTGGGGGGGGGGGGTTGTCGGGGTGTGGGGACGATCGCCGGATTTCGTTCGCTGAGCTCTGTCACTTGCGTGTCACGGTGAATGTGCGCGGACGGTTTGGAAATGTAGTGATGACACCCGTCTTCTCTGTCTGTTCTAACACAGCCTCATTACATTCCAGAAAACTACAAGAGGAATGGGGGAAGGTGAGATAATGCCAATTATATTTCTTGCGCTCACAGATTTGCTGCTTTAACACGATTAACCAAGAATGAGCGTCGGACGTGCTGACACTTTTGACAACGCGCATGAATAAAAACACTCGTGCAGTGCATTTACGATTTTCGTAGGCATTGCAGATAAATGTAAAAGTGCTTTTCAGCTGTCACGTGTTTATTGCTACAGGTATTAATTAGCAATAGCAATCAAAAGACACATTTTCAAATTGTGTCATGTACCACTGAGCCACCACCACACTGAGATCCTGGGTTCGAATGTGGTTCGCAGCTATCTCCAATGAAAGCAAGCATGGCGAGTCGATGGTCTCAGCCTGGTCGCCGCCAATATTTGCACAAACCCCCTCCCCCGCTACCGATCACATTGCATTTGTGACACTTTTGTTTCTTCCTCCCCCCACCCCCACAAAGATCTTCCTGGAAGAGCGGCAAACTCAAGCTCAAGGCCAAGCAGGATGTGAGCGCGAAGAGCAAAGGCCTCCCGGCCAAGGCGCGGCCGCCCTCTGTCCCCGAGAGCCCAGCGAGCGACGGCGCCGCTGCGACGCCGCCGCCGCCGCCGCCGCCGCGTGCCGTACCAGCGCGCGTGGCGGGACGTAGGGAGGAGAGCGCAGCGACCCGAAGGCCCGGCGCGCAGCCACCGGACGACGACAAGCGAAGGGAGCAGAGGCAAAGGCTGGACGGAGTTCTCCTGCACCTACTGGCCAAGCTGCCGGGGAAAACGGGTAAATTGCCGGCGACCGTTTGGCCGTCGTCGATGATGACTCGCGGATTTTCACGAGCCCGCCGGGGGAACGCCGGATCGCGGGGGGGGTGTGGGGGGTGGGGGCACTGTGCGTGTTGTCATGCGCGTGGGGAGCGGTAGTGTAGCGGTTCGCGTGCTGCGCTGCGAACCCGGCGACCCGAGTTCGATTCCCGCTCGCGACTAACATCTGAACCAGTCCTGGGCCTCCCCTAGGTCGACTGAGCCTCAAATGAGTACCTGGTGCGGTGTGTAAACATCGCCACTGGGGAGGCAAAGGTGGCCGGGCGTGGTGCTGGCCACCCGCTCCCTCGTGCACCGTGATGGCCTTCATAGGTGCTCGCTAACAGCACTTCCCCCAACAGTCAGTTAAGGCTATATGGGGGATCTTTGTCTTTGTTTTGACATGCGTGTACATGCGTATATATCCCTGTGCGCACGCACGTGTGTGCGTGTCTGTAAAGATGGCTGCCTACAGCGATTATATAATGACTATATTTCATCGGGTTTCCAATCCACATTTGGCACGGGGAATTTTGTGGCGAGGGCCATGGAAAAAACACTTTCTTACGATTGTGAATATTGTATTTATTGATTGGCAGCCATGAACATATAAATTAGTTGAATTAAGTTAGTCGGGCTCTATTTTGCCCAGTTAGGAGTCCACAGAGACAAAAACTCTGCCAGGGAGACCTAGACTCATTGCATAGATCCCGAAGAAGGCAGGAGTTTTGAAATTTGTTACAAAATCAAAATAACAAAAAATCAGCACAGATATTAATCATGCAAATTCGAAATTCTTCTTCACATACAAAAATCATTTGACGTATTAAATCGTTGTTACTTCCACTTTGTGGGAAATCGACAAGTGTTTGTCTTGGTCGTTAACTTACCCCTTGCCATGACAATTGAGAATGTGCAGCTCCTATCGCTAGCCTGGGGGGGGGGGGCGTCGTTTACGAACAACGCCACCACCATCACCTCAAAGTCTGCATTAGCACTTTCACATTTGGCCTGCTCATGATTCATAATTACTCTTTGGTTCTATTCGGTAAAGTCACGTAGGTATAAAATAAAACAACAAAAATCACGACGTTTCGGCCACAACACAAGCGGCCTTCATCAGGTGAAGGGACCAGGTCGCGGTCTGAGCTTAGCTGTGTTCACTCCAGCGCTGTCCTCGAGACAGTCAGGTCCCTTCACCTGATGAAGGCCGCTTGTGTTGTGGCCGAAACGTCGTGATTTTTGTTGTTTTATTTTTTACCTACGTGACTTTACTGAATAGAACCAAAGATTATGGATCCTTGCAGTCACGAAAGCTTCAAATCTAGGATTCATAATTAGTTACTTTTGGGTCAAATCGTGTCAGTGCAATGACATTTTTCAGCTCTACCTTACCCGTCACCCGACAGCGCCACTCAAATCAAGTTGCCACGTGGTGGGCAAATGTGTCAACTGATTTTGCTTTGACAAGCGAGCAAAGTTGTTTACGATTTTGTCCGACGTTTTGCTGGAGATTACAACCAGCATCATCAGGCGTAACCGGAGGCTCGGCTGTATACCGGAGGGTAAATCTGAAAATTGGCATTGTACATTAAACTTTATCCATGTCAAAAATAATCAATTACGAAGTGTAAAATTGATCGTGAAAGCCTACGAGTAAAATTCACCCAGGCGGTATTATTGTTAATTACCATTGTATTGTTTTAAGCACAAATTCCTGACGAACAATAATGTCCTTTCGTGTCTGATGCAGCTGTGGATGTGTCCTACCTGCTGGAAGAGGGCGCGGGGAAGAGGCTCCGAAGGCACGCGCAGGCCACCACCGGGCTATTTGCACTAAAGTGACATTTTTTTTGTAAAGGCCCGCCCCACCCCAGCGGTTAGTGGGGGGGGGGTGGGAGTTGGGGGAGGGGGGTCAGACGGCCAAGACAGTGCCTTGTCACGGACGAGGCGTGCCACGCCGAAAACATTGTCACCAACAACGCGCTCAGAACCAGCGGAACAAGAGAGGAGAGCGAAGCAGGGAAAAAATGCAAAGCGGCTTCCGGTGGTCTTTCGCGATGGAGGAATGGGCCCAGCTGTGAACATCCTCACGCGTGGCTCTCACGGACAGGGACGTCCCACCTCGGTCGCAGTTGGCGCCTCTCACCCTTTGGTTCGAGCAGAAAGGCCGATGGCCCCCGGCCGTGGGCCTGAGAGAGACGGGTGTCTCGTATCAAGCCGCCCTCGGAGTGTTCAGGGACGCGCGCGCTGGCCTGCGCCCGTAGCACACTGTTGGGTCGAAGTACGTGCATGGTGCGTTCACAAAACATGCCTTGGTTCGCGCACCCCGTCCAGCGTTGGTGAACGGAACTCGCCCAAAGGCACCCGCCACGCGCGCTACGGATCGATGTGCGGGCGCTCCCGAGGTGCCTGCAGGAAATGGTGAAGGTCATCCCAGCGTTGACGATGTGTCGTCTCGGAGCGGTCTGGGTTTGCGCGGATCTCCTAGAAGGTCGCTTTCAACGAAAAAACTTTACACCTTTTCTCGCGACGAGTGAAAAAGATGCGAACGAAGAGATGCGGTCCGGAGCAACGTCGCTCCGCGATGTGCACCGAGAGAGAGAGGTGTTATTATCGTCGCCATCGTCGTCGTCGTCGTCATTGCCGGCACTGCCGATCGAGAGCGTGTTATGTCACGTGTTTCCGTCCGTGCGTGTGTGCGCCCACCCCCCCCGATCCCCCGTCTCCGCAACAGTGGCGGCGACGTCGTGTTTCCCTAGCAGTATTCGCAGCAGTACAGTATTTATTGTATTCGGAGTTCGCGTGCCAGGCGAAGACTAACGATGAACTTGGGGGAGGGGGAAGAGCGCAGACGTAGCCGGCTTCTAGAGCCGCGCGCTCTCATTCGAAATTCGCTTCGAGGCTCGCGGCCTCTCGCCAGCTCAGTCGCAGGCGACGGAACGGCCGCCTCTTGGCACCCCCCCCTGCCCCCACCGGTGATGTTTTTGCATGGTTGTACATAGGTAGTGGGACCGCACGTAGGCAGTGGGTCTCTTTTCATCCCACTTTGCGGTTTTGTACCAGAACTTAAAAAAGGCTTCTTTTACATCGTATTTTATTATCGAAGAAGAGATTGTTTTGTTGTCTATTTTCCTATCTTGAAGCAAAACTGTTTACTGTACAGCTGTGTGTAGAGTATCAGATACTCACTAATTGTGTTTTCTTTGCTTTTTATTTTTTGACGTTTCATTTTGTGCCTTTTTCTTTTGTAATTAGTCTTGTCTGGGCGACAGTGTCAAACACTAGCCGGTCCTGTTTGGAAGAAAAAAACTAAAACAAAAGTGATATTTTTTGTTGCAGAGCAAATAAATGTTAGACAATCACTCCTGGAGTGTAGCATTGTCTTGTCCAGCAAACGCATAAAATAATTAAAGGAAGGCAATTTTATATTTAGGGTTAGAGTTAAAAAAAAACATTAGCAATATTACAAAATGTTCATCGCCAATAATAAAAACAAATAAAATGTACCGTGTGTGATTGCAGTTTTATTTGCCATCGTAAGTGTTGAATGTTCGGGAGTCTCGATGGTTTATTTAGACCGTCTGAATATTAGAGGGGAAATAAATGCCAGCCTGTGTTGGCCGCAAGGTGGCTAGGAGATGGCAGTGTTTAGTGTCGCTCCCCTTGTATGCCTGGCTTCTCTCCAGAGGGCTCACGTTTTCTGCCACACGACAGACACGCGATAATGATATTGGCAAAAAAAACACATCTGAACTATTTTACCCTATACTAAAGAGAGTCCTTGAGACTCCGTGAGGCTTTTCTGGATAATTAAGGTGGGTGTCTTTACTTGACATAAAATAACCTCAGGTCTCAGCCATAATTTACTGATATTATTAACACTGCCTCTTAACAGGGTACATTTATTGTTATGATAATGGACATTGCCCGAAACGTTTGTGTCTTCTATAATTTTTCGTTATGAATCAGTATCAAATACAAGCATGGTGGAGTGTATATATTTTAACTTGTGTACCGCTGACAGCCACCATAATCCGTTTGCTAACAAGGTTCGTCTTGGTCACAATTATCCATATCTTTTCTCATACTGTTTGGTTCTTTCGGTAAAGTCACGTAGTTAGAAATTAATTCAAACAAATCACGACGTTTCGATCGCAACACAAGCGGTCGTCATCGGGCTCACGAAAGCTTCAAATCAAGATTATCCATATCTTGTTTAAAATACGCTGCCTCCTTTGTACACATCTGTCCCTGGGCATGAACAAAATAACTATTTTTACACACCCCATTAGCCACAATGCAGCAGTGCAAAGTTGCAGCATCCTTGATTCAATAGCAGCAAACTTTGTTATTTTTTTTGTAGAATCTTGTTTACGTTGTTCAAATGAAAGCCTTGCCCTATCCTTGTCCCTTAGTAAATAGGTTCTTGCACACCGTCGTCAAGAAAACTCGCTGATTAAATGTATGCCCCACGACCCCAGGAGTTTTGATGGCATGGCCAGACAGATGATGTCACTGAACGGGTTTGCAGTGTCGGCCACACCGCCGTCTTGAACCAACTTTCGGGGTTTGACCACCGCAATATGTTAAGCACGTGTGCTCAGAGCTGTAATGAGCATATTCGCATTTCGCTTGTGTTTTTATCAAATTGGTGTTTCTTCAGAATGAGGCCTCCCAAGATATAAATTATGCCATTGTTTTCTCTCCAAAGCTTTCATTACATCACTTTTAACTGCTGCTGCTGTAGCGCGTATGTGTGCGTACCTATGTGTGTGTGTGCGCACGCGTGAGAGAACGAGGTGTTTATTGGCGAGAGGTTGCCATTCTTGCTTCGCGTAAGGGCCCTCGTTGAAAAGCGGGGTCTGTGCTTTTTTTATTATTGGGGGGAGGTGGGGGGGGCGAGAAATGGCCTCCGCCGCGCTTGCCCGCAGAAAATTAATGAATTGCTTGATTAATGGCACTGCTCACAATTAACAGTTTTTGGAATAAGAATGTGCTACTCGCCCGCCGTGGGAGCTGGGCGGTGCCGGGGAATGTGGCCGACATTAAACACGGAATTCTCGAGGCAAGCCGTCGCGTATTCACAACGCGTTGCGGCACATTACGTGGGTTCGCTCAATAACTACCGGTAATTAAAAAGGTTGAAAATCTGCCAGGGTTTTATGACAGGTCATTAAAGGCTTCTCGCTTGCAAGTTCTACCCAAGTCATCTTTAACCTCCTGGCATGATTTATTGCTCACTGCTGCATTGGCAAAATTAATGTGCACGCAGAGTGCCAGAAACACAATAAATTCCAGATTGCCAGTGTGAATTCTGTGGCATCGTGCCCAGATTACTGTATCAGCGGGAGTTTGTTTATTATTTTTATTTTAACAAGGGCTTTTGTCCATTTATGCTTTTTTTAATCCCTTCTGGCAAACTATGTTCATCAGCTTTGGCAGTGACCCACAACGCACTATCGTAAATAAGAATCTGATATAAGTGCTGTTTATATTCAACTTTGGAATCACAGTATATGAATGGCCATTGCTGTATGCTATTTAAATGTTAGCCATGCATCATTGTATTCATATTCATTTCTATGAGGCCAGGCAATGTTCTTGGATGATTTGGCTTTTGCAACAGGCAAACAAATAAAAACAACTTATTACAATGGATGTACAAAGGGAAAGTTGACAATTTTTTACTCACATGTGCTCCGATGCTTAATTGTGTTTTGGACACAGTGCAGACTTTCAGAAGTCATAAATAAATAAATAAAAATCACAACAGTCCTGCCATCTCCCACCAAGAGCATTCCTGCCAGCTGCTCTCTGCGAAGTAGTCTTGACAGAAATATATTTGGCAAGGCGAACGAGACCTTTGAAAAAAACATAATTCGCGAGGTTTTTCACGCACCATTACAGCGCCATTAAAGTGCCTGTGATTTTGGTCGCTGAAACATAATCCATTTGTAGCATAATTGTTTTGTTGGACTGGTTATGATTGTTTTAAATATCCACACACATGGACACACTCGGACGCACACAAGCAAAACTCTATCTCCCCATCGTTGAGGATGGTGTGTGTTGGCCATCGCCTATCAGGGCCCTTTTGCTTGGCCTGTTTGAAATAATCTTAGTTTGGCGATCATTTTGAGAAGGCCTTAAATCAATGGCGTTCGGAGTGCAAGACGGACGACAGAGAGATGGTGGCTGTGGAGAAGCAAGAGTCGACGTAATTCTCCTGGCCTGTGAATGGAGACTTTAAGGGCAGTGGTTAATGCTCCAGATAAGAGGTTTGTGCCTCCCACAGCTTGCAATGACTAAAACTAGGCCTCTGCTCAATGTCTCAGCAACCAAGATAAAGTCTGGTAAAACAAAAAAAGTTCAAATTAAGGTGGGGATTGGTGGGGCACACACCGTGCCATATGATCACAATTCCATTCCTGGCCAAGGCTAACATCAGTGGCAAGTGGTGGTCTCCTAATTCGACAATTCACAATTACTGTTGTGGTGAGGTATGGTTAGCCACCATGATCGACATGATGTAGAGAGGCTTTCATCCAGCAGTGTATTGACAATATCGAGAAGCCTGGCACACTTTGGATCAATGGGTGCATCCCTAGGAGGGAATTGTGAAGCTGCACCACTGCTCTTTGTATCCATAATATAGGTTCTTTTGGGTTAGATCGCATGAATATGAATGTGTCGTTAAACCAGCCACCACCCGACACAGCCAATTAGCAAGGTTTGTCACGTAAACAGAACATGCCAATTCGTTACTAGCACAGCACACCGGTGTGTTGGAGAGCAAATCCACAACATTTACAATCTGAGTGCGACGTTTCGCCAGTAATTACAACTAGCTTCATCAGGCGACAGCCAGAACTACTTATGGGATCTAACCCCAAAAAAACTATATTATGGATATTGGTCGCGAAAGCCTCCGTGTTAAACTGACTGCTCGTTGTGTTTACTCTTCAGGTGACGAGCCACTTTCCAAGTGCGCCACAAGTCACCGCCGCTAACGATATCAGCGATCAGACGCGTTAATGCTACGGTGCGCGTGGTAATGGTGGGCACACACAAAAAAAACATCCTTGATTAATGGATCGTTAATCACGGGATGTTTAAGGCCTGCGCTTTCGACCTGCTCTCCTCCAAGCTGTGTCCCCTAATTAGGGAGATGTTTGAGGTGTATTTACGCTCGCTCGTAAATTCTCGCTCCGTGCGGCAAAAAAGGGAAAAGTGCACGCAAGTGTAGGGCCACAGGTCACCCGAGGAGATTGATGGCGCCCACGAGCCGCGGGTCGGCCACCGTCACGTTACTTAACAGAGGCTGGCGCGATGTAAGCGCTCGGACGTAAAGTCGGGGAGAGGCACACAAAGCGGCTCAACACGATGCGCCCATGCGGTTTGCAAGTGGGAGATGAAAGAGAGAGAGGGTGGCCGGCAGTGGCTCGCTCACGGCCACCGCTGGAGAGAACTCCAGAGAACCCATGCAGAGGGAGGACTTTGACTTTCAGCTTCTTACGCTGGCCGGATATCTTGGAAGAGGTCTGAGTTGGCCACACTTTACCCTACCCACACATCACCTGAGTGGATATATTTGGGGGGATTTTAAGAAATGTGTCCCATTGCATCAACTGCCACGCCAGTGGATCAAACCGACAACGTCTGGATTGCAGGTTTCAGTGGTGATATCAATAATTCCACGGCAGCATTGATAATAACCCCCCCCCCCACCCCCCAACAAAAAGATAAGCTGCACTGTGAAGAGAAAGCATTGCGAGTATTGTCAGCATGAGGTAAAACTTTACAATTGAGGCTGTAAATATTAGTTTAGATAGTGTCAGTGTAGAAACGTTTAGTATCACTTTTCTGAAACCTTTGACCGCATAACTCCGCACCTCCGATTAGCACGGCTGGCTACGTACGGTGCGAAACAAATTCAACACACGCGCACACACACACACATAAATAGACGTAACGCAGGAGGCATACGTGCAAGCGTGTTGTGCTTTTTTGTTGTTGTTTTGCTTTTTTCATTTGTCCTCGCGAAGCCTTCTTGAGCGAAGTGCGCCAAGCCGGCCTCCCCCTTCCACCCACGGTGGCCACAAGCGGCGTGCGTGCTCGCTCCTTGATAGCCCCGAGGCCTCACCTGCGCCAGTTAGGACACATCGCCTGTCAGGTTAAAAGTGGCAAATTAGCCAGTTGTGTCACGCTCTTGGATTTGGCACTCGTCCCGTGCCACACAGACCGGCGCTGGCACTGCAACAACAAAAATTCTAAACAAAATCACAGAGCTTGACCCACCCACCCACCTCCACAATCCACCACCTCCATCCATTCACGTCCACAAAAAATACACCCACGCCAACACCTTTTTGCCCGTGTCAGGAAACAGCCCTGAGGCTGGAAGTTGCCAAATTGCATATCATGTAACATTTGAAGCATCCCCAAAGTGTTGACTTTGGCGCAAAGGTTCCCATATTTTTCAGATTCCACCCCCCAAAAAAAAAGA